GGGGAGGACAGTAGGTCCCCCCCATCTTTATTTAGGGCCCCCACGGGCATGGGGGGTTTATTAGTTAGTTGTTTTTTTTTTTTACAGTGAGCAGCTATAAGCTGCTCATTGCTTACTACACATGCCCCTACTCGCGATATAGCGAGTAGGGGCATATTATTTACTAATACTAAGTAATCTTTACTTAGTATTAGTAAAGTTGGCTGTTAGACCAATTTAGGTCTTTCAGCCTTTTAGTAGATAGCTCCCTGATACTGTGGGAATTAGGGAGTTATCTACTAAGCGGCTGCAAAATGCAGCCACAGCAATGAATAGGATCAGAGTTTCATTCATTAGAATGAAATTCCGATCCGAATAAAGTGCCGAATTGCGTTCTAAAAGAAACGAACATACTGCTGTCATTCAGTTAGAACGCAATTCGGCAGTTTAGTGTAAAGTGACAGGAAGCATTGTGGGAACACAGAGGAAAGCTAGGGATCATGGGAAAATTGCTCTGACCAGCGGAAATCAAGCACACTTTGCTCCTCCGCTGGTCAGAGCTGGTCAAGCGGAGGAATCCTCCATAAGGCAAAAAGTCCCTACTTTGTCTTATGATTTTAAAGAAAACTAAAGAAGACAGGAAGAAAAGAATAACAGATCCTGAGAGAGGGGGAGAAGAGGAAGAGATTGAGGAAAGGTAAGTTCGGCATGACAGTGCCACTTTAACAGTCGGGAAATTTGATAGAACAGTTTCCTGCCTCTCTAAGTACCACGTGACATCAAGTAGTCACATGATTCCTGTGACATCACAGGTCCTTTGCCAGAATAGGAACTAGACACAACCGCAGAAATAGAGTAAAGACTCTGGAAGCAAGCGATTGGCTGCGTAAGCAGGAACCTAAGTCTGCCATGTCTTCGTCAATGATTGGACAAAAATACCCGGAAATGAGAAGTGACAGCATGCGAGAGAACGAATCGCGAGCTGGCTGAATGCCTACGTTTTAGCGTGTGATTGGTTGCGCTGGTTCCATAGACTTCTAGCCAAGTGTTACTGTGAGACCTTTCATTGGTGAAGCGAGGAGGAAACGGGTGCACAAATAGCGTGAAGCCGGTTACATGCGGGGAAATAATTAATTATTATTGGGGTGGACAGCACCAAGTTTGAGCCATGAGGTTCCACCGTGTATCCGTTAGCCTTTGTCTTCTGTTCGTGTATTTGGCTGATATGGCTATGGGAGGGTAAGAATCTGTTTAATGAAATAACAGCAAGCATTGAGCTATTGTATGACTGCATATTGTATAACTAGAAACACTGAAACCTAAGCAATCTTAAAATAGATGTCAGACCCCCCAGTTATGGGAATTTGTGTCATTGTGTGACATGGTAAACCCTACATATTATCAGTGTAGATCAGGGGTAGGCAACATTCGGCACTCCCAATTCTTGTGGACTACATATCCATTAATGCTCTTAGAGCCACAATGCTGGCAAAGCATCATGGGGGATGTAGTCCACAGCATCTGGAGTGCAACGATGCCTACCCCTAGTGTAGATCACAGAACAGTTTGTAACGTAGCAATAACATTTCTGGATATACTTGAATACATTGACATTTATAGATCCCCAGCTGTTTCAGACAAACCCCCACTTTGATATTCTGCCAGTATTACATTGAAACTGAGTTTGTATTTATTGCAATGTGCATGTTTTATAAGGCGTGAATGGCTGGCCACTGTTTTAACCAGAAACGTATTGTTTGTTTATGGAACTTTGTAAAGCAATCATACTGTATATCTTTACAACGTAGATGAATGCAAATTCATGTGAGTACATGAATACTGTTGCGCATGAAGTAAAATTCACATGCTGTCAAGGGCATGTAACTGGTTCCTCCTATATGTTCCGTGAATCATATATTCAGCATGTGGCTATAGTATACTGCGAGACAGCACAAGTCATGTCCTTCAAGTCAGCATGTGGAAATCATGATTGTCTAGGAAAATGTGATTCAGGTGGCAGCTCTAGTTGCTAGATGGAGAAAGTTTTGGAGTCCCTTTTATACCAGAGACTAGATCAAATGTAGGTCCATCGCATTGACTGGTAAAATTGTATGCGTATTGCAACATCTCTTTACCATTTGGGTGATGTATACATTTTCTCTCTCACAATGAAATTAGAATCTATAAATATCTTCTCTTGACAGCAATTAATTTGCCTATTCTGTACTGTAATGTTTTAAACATGAGATTAGTTTCAGGGACAGGTCAGTTATTGGTTAGTTTATTTTCCCATAATTCCTTTGATCAAACTGGTTACAGCACCTACCAAATTCTCACCCATGGGAACCTTTAAAATTTGCTCATGAGCACTGAATTATGCTTATTTTTTCCTTCCCCTTCTGTGTACTTTGTGTATATTCAAGCGGCTTTCTTTTCTTTCTAGTCGAGACTTTTATAAAATCTTGGGTGTATCACCAGGAGCTACTGTAAAAGAAATTAAGAAGGCATATCGCAAACTTGCATTGCAGCTGCATCCAGATCGAAATCCTGATGACCCTCAAGCACAAGATAAATTTCAAGATTTAGGTGCAGCCTATGAGGTTTGTATATCATAGTATTTCTTTAACTACTTGTTCAGAACCCAAAATGAACAACGCCGCTCTGCACAAATCAGAATCTCCTCATAGAAATACATTGGATCAATGATCTCTTTGAGATACATTCAGCATCTCCATGCAGAGAATTGTGCAGCACTGACCCAGGAAGCACCTCTGTTTGCCATCTGAGTGGCTCCCAGTAGAGGTGTTCCTAGACCATAATGTAAACACTGCCTTTTGTCTAATAAGGTAACGTTTACATTAAAAAGCAGGCAGTAGGCACCAGAACAACTACATTAAGCTGTAGTTGATCTGGTGATTATAGTGTCCCTTTAAACCATGGGTGCCCAAAAGGTAGATGCCCTGATTTAAGCAATGTTAGAAAATGATTCCGTCAGAAAAGTATTAATACAAATATCAAGTGCCACCATCATCAATTCTATTTCTTTTATATGTGAAACTCCAACCACTAATCAGTGATTTGAAGTGGTCATGGTGGTTGGAATCTGAATGTGAGATGTTTCAGCTTGACATACTGAGATATTTGTAATTGTGTACTGGGGGCTAGTTGCACCCCCAGCACAAGTGACATTGGCAGCCCAGAACTGTGGGCACATATTGTGTTTGTATATTATTTACAATTGCTTATCCATGTTCTCAGGTGCTTTCTGATGAAGAAAAAAGAAAACAGTATGATGCATATGGAGAGGAAGGTCTGAAAGATGGTCATCAAAGCTCCCATGGAGATGTATTTTCTCAGTAAGAATTTTTTTTTTTTCTTCTCTCAAACTGTTGATTGGTCTTTTGAACTGGAGATCATTGTTGCACTTAGAAACTGTAGAGCTTTTGAAATAAGAGAGTGTGTGTTAGACTTCTACACAAATCTATTTTAGCTCGTACAAAGCAAACAATGCCTTTTTAATCCGCGCCCGAATGAATTGATCCGTTTAAGAGTTGCCTGTGTAATACTATTCAATGAACCCCTCAGGAAAGCATTGTATACTGCTTTTCTATGAGGAAATCCTAATTCGAGCGCGGCCGTTGATGTCTCCCACTCCGGCTGATGAGGGGGCAGAGGCGGACCCGACCCAGTGCCGAGGGACAGAAGGGTTTTTACAGGGAGCTGTTGTGCCAGGAAAGCAACTGACGAAACTTTGAATCGTCAGCACAGTGCCTCAAGCATCTGGTTCAGGATTAGTTTGCTGGCAAAGGAGCAAACCCTGAATCCTCTAGACCAGGTTGCCCAAAAGGTAGATTCACAGATGTTTTAACACTACAGCTTCCATGATGCTTTGTCATTGTAAAGGCATGTAAAGTATCAAAGGAGTTCTAGTTCTACAACATCTGGGGATCTACCTTTTCGGCACCCCTGCTCTAGACCTTTCGTACGTTGCAGTTTGGGGGAGTTACACTAATGAGTGAGGCATGTCATGAGCTATTTAATCCCCTCTGCAAAACACCTCAGTGCTCAGTTATGCGCCTACAGTTCTGGAGTTCACTAGTCCTGTTATCCCTTGTCTTATTGATTCCTTGTATTCTGACCCCTGGCTGTTATTTCCGTTGAACCTCCGCTGGCTGGAAGCAATCCTCTCGTGGTCAACACCTCAGACGGAAAGAAAAGATACAGAGTATCGGAAGTTAATCTGCCTGCAATTTACCCAAGAATATATATTCGCTGGCCTCATTCACTGCTAAGAAAAGCAAAGTAATTTAGAATCCCATGGCACAAAGGCATTTGACATATTGAAGAAACAGTTTACTGTTGCCCCCACCTTGCATCTGCCTGACCTTGAACAACCTTTCTTCTTTGAAGTGGATACCTATGATGTTGCAACAAGAGCAATTTTATCACAAAGGGAAAAAGAAACCCGACGCATTGTATCCCATCACCTTCTATTCCAAGAGTTTATCGAACGCTGAACTTAACTATGACATGGGCGACAAGGAGTTATTTGTCATCAAAAGAGGGTTAGAAGAATAGACACTTTTTGGATATGGCTAAGCATTAGGTGACAATCTATATGGATCATAAAAACGTAGAATATTTACGTACCACAAAAATGCTTAACCCATGTCAATCTCTATGGGCTTTTATTTTCTCCAGATTCTCTTTTCTTGTATCCTACCGCCCCGGAAAACATAACAAGAAAGAATATCGCCTTTTGCGACTGCGTTCATTGGATTCCCCTAAAGTCAAGCGAGCAGAAACGATCTTACAAGATCACCACGTCTATGGAATAACAGCGCATTTTCTAATCAAACCTTAGAGACCTCTCTACGCTGCTATACCACATATCTAAAATCAGACTAGAATGATCTTCAAGTGACTGCAGAGTTAGATCATAACAGTCAATGTGATTATACCCATACATCACCCATTTTCCTGAAATACGATTTATTTCCTTCATCTTTTCCTGGTCTGCCAACACACATCCCAGTTCCTATTTTTTTTTTTTTCAACCCAGTTGCTTCTTTCACGTGGGCTTCGACGTGCACAAAAAGCCTTGAAAGATAGTCAGCTAACCCACATAGCTTATGCCAACCGCAGACGACAACCAGCACCTTTATACATCGTTGATCAAAAAGTTATACTTTCTACCGAGTACCGTAACTTAACCTAACCCTTGAAAAAGTTATAACCTACATTGGCCCTTTTCGTATAAGCAAGGTCCTGTCTATATTGGTGGTGAAATTGGAACTTCCCAGTCCGTACCAAATCCACCCTACATTCCATATATCGTTGCCAAAACTGCTTGGTCAGCTCGCTGTGATCTCCCTGCTCAGAGGTTGGCGTGTAGGCGTTCAGTGGAGTCTCCAACTTCTTCGCCTTCCCAATGTTTCAGATTGCTCCTCAAATCGTGGTTTGTTGGCACATCTACTTTTCACATCCAGATATTGGAGTCCTGTTTGCCGACATAGAACTGAGTTCCTGGACTTTCTAGACAATTTGCATGCCAAATGGAGAAAGGGGCGGAGCAGTTTGGGGCAGTCAGACTAATGAGGGAGGAGGTGCCTTCCACTCCCTATTTAATTATTTTTGCAGCACATCTCTGTGCTCAGTTGTGTGCCTACAGTTTTTGAGTTCACTAGTCCTGTTATCCCTTAACTTACTGATTCCTGGACTTCTGACCCTGCCTATTCATTCACTTTAGAATTTTTGCTGCCTGGACTGACCTTACCTTCTACCTGACCACGTCTTTGGATTCTCCCTTACCATACTTCACTACTGGTATTCTGCATATTGGGTTCTCCTGCTCCAAACCCATGACATTAGGATGTCAGGTGGACAAACTTATAAAAAATAAATTTCTGTATAATATACAATATATAATATATAATTAAAAGGATTATAAACTGCTATAAAAGCATTCATTATCCGTTAGTTACCTTTGCATGTTGATGTAAGACAACTTGTATCCATTACAAGTGCCTACATGTATTTTAAAGTCCGGTTACTGCACATGTAAATGAAACGTGTCTCCGTTGGTACATGTAACCCATGTTGTGCTTTAAAGTGAAATAATGATGTTTTCTTACTTTGTGTAGCTTCTTTGGAGACTTTGGGTTCATGTTTGGAGGGAATCCTCGCCAGCAGGACAGAAATATTCCACGAGGCAGTGACATTGTTATTGATTTAGAAGTGACACTGGAAGAAGTATATTCTGGAAACTTTGTAGAAGTAAGTAAAACGCACAACGTTGAAAAGAGAAATATTTAGGTGTCTTTTTATTATCTTGTTGACATTTTAATTTAACTTTTGACTATTTTTAAATGCTTATGTTAAAAATGAAATTGATCTATACCTTTTACTTTACAGGAACATATTATCATATTATTTCACTTTTCAGAGTGTATCCAGCCGATAGGCAGCAAGGCAGTTTTATATGAAGTCAGTGCAGGGTCCTAGTACCTAATTTCCTTGTCCAATTGAGTTAGTGTTTGCAGGTTGCAACGAGTCACTGTTAGCACATGTGTACTTCCTGAATTGGATAAAATAGCATGTATCCAGAAAGATGCATGCCAGTTTATCTTCCTTTGGGTGCATTCTGCTTTATCCTTTTTAACTCTGGGTTATATTACATAAGCTGGTGTTTAATACAAAACATGTTAACAACTTTTTAACACTTCCTATTATAATGTGCGTGATTTTGAATCTGGTATAGTTGACTTAACATTTTTTTCTAGTTGTGCTGTGTTTTACCTTAGCACAGTTAAACAGCCAGATTCAATAGGTAAAATTACTAAATACCAAAGCAAAAATAGATGCGCTGTACCTTTTAAAATATTAGAAAGTGCAAATAGTGCAATAATTTGTGCAAAAACACAGTGTATGTACAATGTAATCACATTCAGTGTAACATAAGTGCAAAATTGCAAATGTGATGGTGGGAAAATTCAATATCCAAATAATTTACAAGGAAAGTGTATATCTCCTTTGATTCTCCAAATCACATAAGAACATATGTAAAGAGAGATATAAAATGGAGAGACATAGTATAATATTGTTTGTACATAAGTATAAGAAACAACAATGTAAAAATAGGAGTATCACTCACAAAAAAGAGCAGTAAAAGCCTGCTCTAACTGATCCAGCTTTTGATCCACAGACCAGGACTTCTTCAATGTTGGTACAAGTAGGCAGAAGGCAACTCTGAGTTCCAGGAAGTGAAACCTGCAGTGCCGAAAATCACCAAGGACTGGTAGATATTTGCAATACAGCACTGGCTAAAGGTTATCAGACTTCTATATGGAAACTGGGAATGTGGATTTTATTTACTTTGAGAGCTGGTGTTCTGCCTACTTGTACCAACATTGAAGTCCTGGTCTGTGGATCAAAAGCTGGATCAGTTAGAGCAGGCTTTTACTGCTCTTTTTTTGTGAGTGATACTCCTATTTTTACATTGTTGGTTCTTATACTTGTGTACAAACAATATTATACTATGTCTCTCCATTTTATATCTCTCTTTACATATGTTCTTATGTGATTTGGAGAATCAAAGGAGATACACACTTTCCTTGTAAGTTATTAATTGGATATTGAATTTTTCCACCATCACATTTTGCACTTATGTTACACTGAATGTGATTACATTGTACGCACACTCTGTGTTTTTGCACAAATTATTGCACTATTTGCACTTTCTAATATTTTAAAGGTACAGCGCACCTATTTTTGCTTTGGACTTTATGTATGGTGTTTTATGAGCTTGTACACTTTTAGGTGCTGCTACACTTTTATTATCTTTACATTCATTTTATACTAAGCACTTTTAGCGCCTTTTATTGCTTGTTTGTTTTTTAGTTTTTAGTAAAATTACTAAATAGTATATATCAACACTAAGTATATATTTTGTTACAGCAGCAATACAGTGTCTGCAGTTTTTTTTTTAAATTACTCTAATATCATTGTTGTTATAGTACCACTTGAAGGATCACTCCAAGCATTATAACCACTACATAAATCATACAACAGATGCGAGAGTGCAATAGTCTATATAATATAACATGTATCAATAGTATTACTCACAAACCTGGAGCCAAATTCTCACATATGGCTCTCATGGAAAGCTCAGTGGTACTCTTGTAGGGGTTAGCAGATGTTCTGAGTAGAAATAGGCGTTGATACATCTTTTCAATGAAGATCCATTATTCAGTACAAGTTATAAAACAAAATATAAAATGCAATAAAAAGGTATTGCTATGAGAGTCCAATTGGTCTCTTGCTTATGCCTAAAAAGTTCTCTGGTAGTCCGAAAGTCATTTCGCCCTATGGTGGGGGCTTCCTCAGTCAGTGTGGTATCCAGAGTCTCCCTTGCGTCTTTTTAAAGCTCACCGGTGTTCTATCAAATTTCTCTACCCGTGATAGAACAGTCTCTTCCGGGTGGTATCTTCTGTTTGGAACGCATTGTGCATTCCACTCTGGGCGTATTTCCTGGTCGCACCTCTTGCGTCATTGAAGTGCGTGGCTTGTGATATAGTGGTAAAGAAAACACCAAAAAAGTGGCATAGTTTTATAGTGATAATAAAAGAACCTTTTAAAAAGAGTGACATAGTTCTATATCCTGGTTTATTCCTCCAACTTAATAAGGTCTCCATAGTTTTTTATATTTAAGATTCATAGTAGCACCATTTAAAAGAAAAACCTATATTTATAAAAACCTGTATTAAAAAGTGGCATAGCTCAAAGTCCTGATTTAGACAGTGTGGGACCATGGTGTTGAAGTTCAAAATAAATTTCAGGGGGCGGTGCCGAGCCACCATGCTGGCTGGCCACATGGAAGATCAGCTCTCGCAATTTAAGAGCCTTTTGATCCATTTAAGCGGCCTAGCTCAGCATTGAGCGTTAAGTAACGACCGCCCACATAAGCAAGGGGCGCTGGCCTGGGTACCGAGCCACAACTTGTGCTTTACCCCCTCGTGACAAATGTTCCGTTGACCACGGCCTGTTTGGTTGGTGAGTGGGGCAGATGGCCCTGCTATCCTGCCTGTCAGTTACTGGTCGGATCTTTTGATTGGCGAGGTGATGGCCTTGCTCCCCCTCCCCCTGGCCGGTGGGGTCATCCCGGTCCACCCTGGGACTCTAACAATGCCTGAAAACATTGGAGGTCTCACTTACCTTCCAAGATGGCGATGAAGCCTGCTCTGGGATCCGAACACTCCATGGTGAAAGCAGCCTCCCTTGGGGCTCTTTTCACCCTCTACAGGAAAAGTGGGATATCACTAATAAAGTAACCTGAAGCTTAAACAGAGGTGCTAACAATCGACACCTAGGCCCCACTGCGGGGAGCATATAAACTTCTAAAGCTGCACAACTTCCAAGGTTCCGACAAACTACCAGAGTCACAAGAAATCTCCTTCTTCCTACCACATTTGGATGTTCCAACTCAACTGTCTCTGTTCCTCAACTCCCCACATTGCGGTGCCTAGCTGAACAATGGCCTGGGTGGCAGTCTGGCTGTGTGCTTGCAGACCTACATCAGACTGCTGGGACTGCATCCTGCAGATAGTGGGATTTGAAAGACCTCTATTTTGGGACTGGGGGTGCCTTTCCGTTGGCTAACGCACAATTATTACTATGAGATCTCTTCTGACAGTCTATACAATTTTTAGTACTCGGGGATCTTTACTAGCTATGACATGTATCCCTCTGCTGTATGTCATTAATCTGTACTTTCTCTCTCATGTCACACTGTCTCACGCTTTTATTATTGCCTGAGGTTACATTTAATCTACGCATAGAGAAGCCTCTCACTCTAATTAATCTAACTTCTCTGCAACATGCACGCATTCTCTTTTAGACCACATGAGGTTACCAGCACGAGGCGTACTCAGCTTGCTATAGCCTATACTGTTTGAATGTTTATCATTTTTTTTTTTTCATTTGTCTTGACCTTCTTAAAACTTAGCTAACTAACATCTGCTCATTCAACCTAGGCGTACCTGACGAGCATGTTATAATCTATACATACATATCTAATTTCCCTATGGAGATTCATCAGTTAAGTTAAGATTGTTTATGTATAACAAAAAATGTGCAACTACTCATGCCACTGTATATCTTTATGTACGCTGTTGTGGAGTTTGTTCTGTACCTATCTGCACAACAGAAAAATAAATAATAAATACATTTTCTTCAATTCCTATCTTTCTGTTGTAATCTCCCACTCTCTCTAGTCTCTTTTTACTAGTTTTAAAGGACAAAAGAGACCTCTGGGGGTTTTCTTATGAAACATCTTTAAATGGTTGTAAACACTGAGTTTCTAATCCTTTTTTTTTATTTTACTTTTTATGTTCCTTATATGTTCTGCTTTTCTTACATCTGATAGTTCTACTGCTGTATAGTAAATTACAACACGACTCATAGTGTTCTAAAGGTCTCCATAGGTTTTTTTTATATTTAAGTTGGAGGAATAAACCAGGGCTTTAGAACGGTCACTTCCTTCTTTTTATTTATTTTTATTTATTTTTTTGTGCTTATATTTTACTATAATGCTATACCACTTTTGTGGTGTTTTCTTTACCACTATATCATGTATGTATTTTTATTCAGGCAGAGAATTCTACTTCCTTATTGTTTTTACAGTAAAAAAAAAAACTTTTCTTTGCCTTAGACGAAATCTTCTCTCTTCCAGTCTAAACGCATGACTTCATGTCATATGTAAAGTCCGGTTTGTAATAGATTTCCACACAGTGGTTTGTTTTGGCCCCGAATATATTTGTATAATGTTATCATATCCCCTCTCAGGCGATGTTTTTCTAAACTAAGTAGGTTTAAATTTGTTAACCTTTCTTCATAGCAGATATGTTCCATTCCTTTTATTAATTTTCTGGCCTGCCTCTGCACTTTTTTTAGTGCCATAATATCCTTCTTTAGAACAGGTGGCCAAAATTGCACAGCATATTCAATATGTGGTCTTACCAGTGATTTATTATGTGGGGATATTTATGGGATAATATTATACAGTTGAGAATTGCCCACTATTTCAATTCTCTTAGATCTTAGAGATCGTTATCATGTAAGTGAAATGTATTCCATACAAATAAAATCACAATTTGTTATAAAAATAGATATAATTTATCGTGACAAATTATAAAACAATATTAGGCAGCATGCATGATAATAATCAGTGAATATTTAGTATAACTTCGTATACAATGGCTAAACACAGTACAAAGCTACAGCGTCAACTGTCAAGACTTACACGATTTATGAGGTATTTCGCAGACACAGAAAGCTAAACTTCCAGCAAAAGTAAAACCTTGGCTAACAGTTAGATCAACTGGGTAACCTTTCAATGCTGGCTAGATCCTCCTAGGCACATACTACCCTATTCTCACATGATTTTCAATTAAAATAACATTCGAACCAGCTCATTAATCATTTCCTGGAACCATCCAATAAGAATAATCTACCAGATTTTTACAAAAGCCAAATTTTAATTTGCCTAAAAAGATATCTTATCTTATAGTAGAGCAAATCAATACACCTGGATAAAAACAACGGTATGCTAACGTGATACTATCACATTAATATATAATTATTCTTAATTCCACCTGCAGAATGGAATGTTTATAATTATATATTCTTTAGTTAACCAAGATTTCTAAATATTGAAATCTGACCGTGATTTATCCAGTCATATATCATGCTTTTAGATCTTTTAATTAATTTTAATTAATTAAAACCAGCATAATTACCAGTTATGTAGGTATTCTCAGATGAGTAGGAAATCCCAGGAAAATGCGAGTATGATTGGTTGTATGGAGGTGCGTGAGTAACAGAGAAAAGTGATGTTGGTTAAAAAGTATCAGTATAAGTGTCAAGGAGTGTTTCTTGAGTTGTGTCCAAGAGAGTTTGAGAGTTGAATGTTAGTCCCAGAGAGTGTCCTGAATCTCTCTCTGCATGTCCGAATCTGACTGCCCAAACTACCCTCTCTCTTCCCTTTGTCCTAACTTTTAAAAGGCCAGACTCTCTGTACGTCATTAGTTGATAAGGCCAATAGGATACTGATGGTGTGGTCAACCTGCAGATCGCAATTTAGGTATTTGATCCATAGAGAACAGTCTTGCCTTACTAAACCTTCCTATCCAGGAAAGAGTTAACTTTTCCTGATGACGATTTTGACGTCAATTGGCTTATCTAAAATGATTACCATAACTTAAATTTGCTGTCAGTTCAAAGCATTTGTCTCAGTCTTTGTGGCAACTATTTTGATTGTAATTTCTAAAATTGACCATTCTAAAGTCAATTTCACCCCTTACTTACAATGAGACCTTGTAAAATTTAGAAAGTAAAATTAATTACTTAATCTTCTGTCACTAGTGTCTGTGTTTAAAATTACTTCTATTCCATTAACATTTAAACAGAGCATTCCATCCCCCTGCTTCATTGCTTATCACTTGGCTTGTTTATATAATGCATTCCTTAGCTCAGGCTAGTGGCTAGTGTTACTGAAAGCAAGATGAAATTATGTGTCTTTGTTAGACTGAAGATCCAAAATGGAGTCTGTTCTGAGTGACTCTGGCAATATACACTTTTAATTTCTATCTTGGCACAAAATGTCTGCCGATATAAATATCCTGACATAACCCCCCTTAGCGATTATCATTATTTAGTCTATCAATAAGCACTATAGAAGTTACAAGACATATTGTGCACTCATATCATTTCTACTGACATAGGCCTTTACGTGGAATTAACAGATTTGTATATTTTTGTACCTGTAAGAGCTTTGAACTTTACACTTAGTACAATCAACCATAATATCATTATTATCATTGTAAATAGTTTTCATTGGAAAAAATGTTTTTGGGAGTTGCATATGGTATGGTCAATAAAAAGCAAATCTCTATGCGTTCCGGATCAATTAAGCGAGGTATAGCACTCCCCATCTCAAAGGCCAGATTTAATTGCATAGGCTCAATTGTTTCTCCATCCACGTTGGCAAGCATTGCATGAACAATATCCTTGGATACAAAGTACAGAGGTATGCGTCCCCCTGCCAATTATGTAGGGTGGCGCAGACTTTGACGAGTAACCTTAGATAGTATTAGTATGCCGAGTAGCTCTAGACTTTCAAACATTATTTATTCGCAGTATAGAGGAAATTCACGCATTAGCGTTCGAGAATTGGAGGGGGGTGTCAACATAGACGATTTTAACCCTAAGAGAGAACCTCTATGCTGAGCAGACTTAAATTCGAAATTGGAATTAGATAGTTAATCTATCTTTCTTTAATAGCTTTGCTGTATTAAGGCTGTATCGTGGGATTTGAAGGGACAGGCTAGATAGCCATCTGATTACAAATACCGCCCCACAGGTCGAACAAAGGGGATCACTGTTCATTACTGTATCCTCCTCTTTCTCTTCCCACGTTCAACAGCTAACAAACTATACAAGCAGCTATGCTGTCCAATAAAATTGTACCCAGGGTTAAATAATATGGTTATACTCAGGATAACTCTGCTAACAGAAATTAGTAACAATGTTACATCGGGCACTAAGGATGATTAATTCTAGCAGTCTGAGCAGCTACCTTAATATGTAAGCATACGAGTATTTAGTAATCTATCTTACCAGTAGTTGAGGTTACATTTATCCATAATTGGAGCGCCAATAATTCAGATTATGTTTTGGTAAATTTATTACAGTAGAGTCTGGGTTCACCCTAGAATTGTGTTATTAACAGTTTAGTTATTAGCACTATTTATAGAGAAAGATTTCACTAAACTAGACTTATATATCTTAGAGTGGGCATTTTTTCCCTCTAGTGAAATCACAATTTTTAGCGTTAATTTAGTGATTTATATTTAGATGTGGTGTAGCAACACGTGTTTATCACAATAGTGAGTGTAGAGCCCTTATTATTAAGGGACTTTTTATTGGATTTATTAAAAGTGACGTTTTAATTTATTTGTGCTCCATTGGTGTTAATTTTTATCAGAACGGTAATCTCCAATTTTTCTTTTCTTTTTGCCAATTTACAAGGGGTTAACCCCCATGGAGGTTACAGTAGTCTAAAGGCTCCTCTCTTTCTTCTTTTTTCATTCTTTTAATCAATTGTCCCCCTGCCAATTCGATCATTCCAGTTTGCACTTCGTCAAGAAAAGCAAGTGTATGGAACAATATTGGGTCATGTAGAAATAGAAGTTCACGCTTAAATAAGTCATGACTTTGGTGTAACTCAGTGGATTTGGCAGTTAACTCCGAATGCAAATTTGTTGTAACAACTGTGTCTTCCACAATAGTTAACACGTCTTGGAGAAGTGTTCTTTGCTGGTTTATCACCTGATGAATATCGTTAATGTGTTGCTTTAGTGCATAGATTTCCATATCCAGCTTTTGGACAGTAATAGAGTTGGCTGCAGACATTTCAGTTGCGACAACTGCACCGACAGTGGCACAAACTAATGCAACAATTATGGCGGTGAGGAACCTTTTGGGTCGGTTGCTCATCGAAATAGTACTGAATACAAATGGTTTCCAGGCTTGCTCCAAGATGTTTCGCACATCATCCTGTGCTTTTTGGAGGTGCATCTGGTACCAAGTCTGTAACTCAGGAAGCTGCATCGTTGAAATGTTGTATGACTTCTCGATGGAAATCTTGGGGTCCAAGTTGACGAACACACGTCGGGTCAGGATCCTCTTCTCTATCAAGATGAACCCTGGTGTCTCTTGAATCAGGATGCTGGAGGATGGTCCTATCTCTACGATCGGGTCGGTCCGTAGCTGTTGGCACAGGAGCAGTACGATCCAGAAGCACGCCACATCCTTCTTGGACATCTTTCGACAGTCACGAATTAGGAACTCGTTTCAGACTTATCTACTAATGATTCAAGGTTTGTTAAGCATACAAACTTATAACAGTGTGACATCACTTGGCCTAGGACAACGCATTATTACGATTCATCAACATTTGTATTCTGTCTAATTATATTTTTATAACTTCATCCCTCACTACATTTATTACTGACTCTTCAGTAATTCGCCTATAGCAGCTAAACAAGCTAGTAAGCTGCTTAGAAAATGTAGTTATTGGATGACAAGGAAATGGTTAATGACATGAACGTACATGAGATCATGGCACATCACAACATTTCACATCATATGATACCACGTGAATCAAGCATTCATCCAGATTAGTCGTTCACTCTTCTGCGTCCGAATCCACACCTATAATCCTTAATTGAGATTTAGGATGACTAGCACGCAACTGGTTAATGTGAACCCACTTTTCAATAAAATCACCATCCTTAGGAATTTTTATCTTATACGCTACTGGGGGAATTTTGTCAATAATGACATATGGCCCTTTCCAAGAAGGTAAAAATTTATTTTCCTTAACTTGATTTCGTGCAAAGTTATACAGATAGACTTGATCTGTGATCTTATATTCCTTTTTCGTGGTTTTTAAATCGTAATACGTCTAGACGCAGCGCGGTATGCAATATGTAGCTTTCGTTTAACACCTAGAATTTTCCACATCTTAGCCATTACTTCGCTGGTAAAATGACTACCTCTGTCTGACTCAATTCTTTGAGGCAGACCGAACCTGGAAAAGACATGGTTTTTCAACAAAGTGGCGCACACGGTACTCGTGTTCTCTTTACAAGGCCAACACTCTATCCACTTTGTGTACATACATGTATGTACACAAAGTAACCGTTACATGTAACGGTCTTGAAGATCTTTTTACAGGACCTATAAAGTCAATTTGAATATCAGACCAGGGTAATGACACCCCCCTCTTCTGAAGTGGTGCACGATGGGTTGGACCATGGGGTTGATATTGCGGACAAATCAAGCATCCCTGACAGTATGTCTTAACATCCCTTAACATGTGTGGCCAATATGCATAATCACGCAATATCTCATATGTGATGTTATCACCACGATGCCCAGATGTAGGTGCATTGTGTGTGTTGGAGCATTAACCCTCTGTATACAGTTGGGACTACCTATTGTTGTATACCATGTTTAGAAGTTCTGATCAGCAACCCATCCATGATACTAAATTGGACTTTATATCTCATCAAGATTCTTAAATCTTCATTATTTTTGCAATCCTCCTCTGTGATGGGATTGGCAGTAGGGTCTTCTATATGTCTATAGAATATGCCTACGAAGGGATCGTTCTTTTGACTGGTAATCAGGTCCTCACTAGGAGCTTCTTGACTCCATTGCACGACATTTAAGTCGGCATTATCTCTAGCCTGTCGTCTAGTTGTGGCGTCAACATGAATGGAACCCATAAGATCATCAATGTTTTAGGGTTTCACCATTGATGGCTGCTTGTTTTGCCAGTGAATCGGCTAAGTCGTTACGTCCTTGTCAATACCTTCTATTTTAGAATGGCCTTTGGTTTTCTTCCGATATATGGTTAAACCATTTTCCTTAACCAGTTCATCGATTTTACAAAACAATGTCCCATGTTTAACAGGTTTGTTATTGCTTTTCCGCATCTGGTTACGTTTCCAGCTAGGCAGATATTCAACGAAACTGTTGCAAACATAGTTAGAATCTGTTATAACGAATTCTTTGATACCATATTCTATTGCCATTTGAATGGTCTTATATACTGCACAGAGTTCGGCTATCTGACTGCTTTTGGGACCATTATTGTATCCTATAGATACATTGGGATAATCACCTGTCCAGGCGATTCCGATACCTGCATCTAACTTCCGTTCAGCACCAGCGGTGTGGTGATATGAACAACCATCAATGTATACCCACGGTAGGGGTCGACAGTATTCCTCGTCATAAACCTTATAAGGGGATAGCAATTGCTCTTCTAGGAAGTAATCTCCGGTGTCATTATCATCCAGAGATGGAGCAGTACAGTCATGTAATTCTGCTAAACCTTGGGCAACTGGGCTTCTCTTATTATGTTTATATGGACTTCTAGCTGCCATCCCTGTAAGGATAGAGTCCATGCAGTAATCCGACCGCTGGATTACCGTCTCCGATTCTTTCACTCTGCAGACACTGTAGAGGTTGGTGAGCTGTTTCTACAATTATTTTCTCACCTTGAATATAGCTACAAAAATTTTGTAGTGCCCAGACAGTCGACAATAACGCCTTCTCACACGTGTTGAATTTAACTTCAACAGGTGACAAAGTCTTGCTAGCATATGCAATAACTTTGTTTAAACTGTCCTGCTTCTGATACAGAACAGCACTTATGCTTAAATCGGTATTTCCTGTCTCCAGATTGAAGGGTTTACCCCCCTCTGGGTATGCTAAACAGGGTGCCTGAGTGAGCTTCCTCCTCAGTTCACTTACCGCTTGGTTCTGAGGCGCCCTCCAGTTCCAGGTAGTTTCCTTTTTAAGCAGGTGTAAGAGTGGTTTAGTTATTTCTGCATAGTTATCTATAAATTTACGGAAGTAGTTGGTCATACCAAGGAACGATCTTAATTCCCTGATGTTTGAAGGTGTTTTAGCCTTAATTACAGCTTCAACCTTCTTCCTCTGGGGATTTAATCCTTCAGAAGTTACCTCATGTCCGAGGAAATTGACATGGGTGCGACACCATTGTGCCTTTTGTAAAGACAGTTTAATCCCTGCCTCTCTTAACTGAGTGAGAACATGTCTAATATCTATGATATGCTTATCATAGGAAGTGCTTTTCAGCAAGACATCATCGACATATGATGACGTTCCTCTCGAGTGCGTCAGGCATAGCCTTATGCATGAACACAGCGAATTCATGACCAGAGTTTATGTAACCAAAGGGCATGCGGGTCCAGGTATACTGCTGCTTTCCAAATGTGAAGGCCAATTTGTATTGGTCTTCATCATGGACTGGTACAGTCCAATATCCCTGCGCACAGTCAATGGCAGTGAATATTTTGGATCCCTGCATTTGTACCAAACATTGGTCTATGTATGGCACTGGCCAACCAGACATATAGAAGCATTTATTTAGCGGTCGTAAGTCAGCGCATAAACGCCATTGTCCATTAGGTTTCAGAATACCCAAGATCGGAGATCTTATTATTTGAACTGTGCACTGGACGTATAATGCCCCTTTCCTTTAAATTCTGAATGATGTCTTGTAGACCATCATATGACGATAATGGGAGTCTATATTGTTTGATAAATACAGGTGGTAAATTTGGATCAGTTTGTATTCTGGCTACGTGGAGGTTAGTTAACCCACAGTCGTAGGAATCTTTTTTGGCAAAAATATCTTGGAATTCCATTAGGATATCCTTTAGCTGTTGCCACTCAGCATCGTTGGAGCAACAGTCAGCTAAAGATATTTGCTCTTCTAGCCTTTCCTGAAATCCTGGAAAGATTTCAGGCTGGCCTATCTCTTAAGCTTCGTTAGGTCAGTTCGGTGTTGATACTCAGTTCTCTTTGGTCGTGATACTCTTGTGATTCCTGCTCACTGAGCGGATGATCGAAGGTGATTGATGCTTCTTCGATTTTACACGAGCCTTCTTCGACGTTGAAGGGATATACAGATAGGATAGTGAATAATCCTTCTGGGGAGGAATGGAATATTTGATCGACAATTTCGTCCTTAGTTAAGTATTCTTCAGGGATGAGGCCTATAATTTGGTTTTGGAAACCAAATGTATAGTACTCGGCATCCAATGCTAGACCTGGTAAAGTAACAGTATTTGGGTGTAACATTGTTGACCATTATATAGGTGGGATTCTTACCAATACTTACCATTGGTGTATGGGTTACCACCATCCCTGATTGTTGTATTCTGTTGGATAAACAGATTAGGGCATCAGATTTTTCCAATCTCTGACCCTTCTTGACCTGTAGGGGTAAAAGAAAGTTACTTGTCAAGTTTGGCCAAGACAGTCTTTTCAAACTGTTCTGCCCAAGATTGCTTGGTAATGTCAGGAGATGGGGAATCTTGTTTCACAGGTGGTTTTTTTTTTATTTTTTTTTATTTTTTTAGAATTACTCACATCTTTTCTTTGAGACTGTTCTATGAAAACCTGGTTTGGTGTGGCAAAATCATAAGGAGGGGATTTACAGATAGTCCTTTCTAGCATTTTTGTGCAACCTTTTGGCACACAATGATGACTACTAACCTCACTGTCTGATTTCTGACTCTCCTTTTCATACACATCCAATTGCTTTTTAAGCTCACTTATTTCCTGTGCATATTTTTCCTTCAAAGCTTTCAGTTCTTTTTCATGATCAGCCTGACGGGTTTCATGCTCAGCAAGTAAATCTTGGTATTTCCCATTTTGAATGCCCAGATCGTCACTGTATGTGTCCAATCTGGTATTCAGTACCTTGTTTTCATCTATCGCCTTCAGAAGTCTTGTCATAAAGAAAGGCCCAGAGTGTATGATGAACGCCATTTTTCTTTCTATGTCCTAACTTTTAAAGGGCCAGACTCTCTGTACGTCATTAGTTGATAAGGCCAATAGGATACTGATGGTGTGGTCAACCTGCAGATCGCAATTTAGGTATTTGATCCATAGAGAACAGTCTTGCCTTACTAAACCTTCCTATCCAGGAAAGAGTTAACTTTTCCTGATGACGATTTTGACGTCAATTGGCTTATCTAAAATGATTACCATAACTTAAATTTGCTGTCAGTTCAAAGCATTTGTCTCAGTCTTTGTGGCAACTATTTTGATTGTAATTTCTAAAATTGACCATTCTAAAGTCAATTTCACCCCTTACTTACAATGAGACCTTGTAAAATTAATTACTTAGTCTTCTCTGTCACTAGTATCCGTGTTTAAAATTTATTTCTATTCTATTAACATTTAAACAGAGCATTCCACCCCCCTGCTTCATTGCTTATCACTTGGCTTGCTTATATAATGCATTCCTTAGCTCAGGCTAGTGGCTAGTGTTACTGAAAGCAAGAAGAAATTGTCTTTGTTGGCCTGAAGATCCAAAATGGAGTCCGCTCTGTTCTGAGTGACTCTGGCAATATACACTTTTAATTTCTATCTTAGCACAAAATGTCTGCCGATATAAATATCCTGACAATAAAGAGGCAACATTATGTTCTCATCCCGAGAACGAATGCCCCTTTTCATGCATGACAATACCTTACTGGCCTTAGCCACTGCTGATTGACATTGCACATTGTTGCATAGTTTGTTGTCTATAACAATTCCCAAGTCCTTTTCGTGTGTGGTTATCCCTAATTTGCTTCCATTAAGGGTATACTTTGCTTGTGCATTCTTTACGCCGAAGTGCATAACTTTGCATTTTTCACCATTAAATTTCATCTACCATTTGAGTGCCCAGTACCCCAGCCTATCTAAATTCCTCTGCAGGAAGGTAATATCTTGCTCACATTGTATTACTTTACAACGTTTTGTGTCATCTGCAAACACTGAAACATGACTTTCAATGCTGTCTTCAAGATCATTTATAAACATATTAAATAGAAGGGGTCCCAGAACAGAACGCTGAGGGACACCACTTGCCACCTCTGTCCAGCTTAAAAATTTACCATTAATGACAACTTGTTGTACTCTATCCTTAAGCCAATGTTCTACCCAAGAACAAGCATTTTCATCTAGACCGATTTCCTTGAGTTTGAACACTAATCTATTGTGTGGAACTGTATCAAATGCCTTGGCAAAATCCAAATAGATAACATCCACTGCAACACCATCCATCTATACTTCTACTTACTTCTTCGTACAATGCAATCATGTTAGTTTGACGTAACCTATGCTTCATAAAACCATGCTGATTTTCCCTTCAGATTAGAGGCAGTGTTTTACAACAGGAATTTCTAATCTGGAGGGAAAAAAACAGGCAGGCAATCCCCCAAACTTTTTTAAATACCTCCCCCAATTATATTTTGCACTATAAAGTGTCACTTACCCCAAACACCAATTCTTTGCCTGCCTTCAGCAGAGGAGGGAGTCAGGTTTTTCCCCAGGAGCACGGTGAGAGGGCTGAGGCTCGTTCTGCCAGGGGTAAGCACGCCGGACGCCTGCATCTCCCCTGTGTTTTATTTGTTCCGTCTATACCGTGCTGGGCAGATGATGATGCGCATGGGTGCGCTAGCTGGGAGGTCCTGGCGTGGAAATTTGTTTTTTTTTTTTTTTGGTTTCCAGGACTTAGAGAGCAACTAACTTTTTGCCAGGTGCACTCAGAATCTGTTGCAAGTGTGTTCTCACCTACCCTCCAACACACTTTGAAGCCATTTGAGGTAAGACTTTTTTTTTCTCTTAAGTGAGTCTAGCCTGAATTATAGAGTTTTGATTTTGTTCAGCTTTTCTTTTTTTTTTTTTTCTTCAGTGTGTCTAATCCTGAGACTGCGGAAAGGGCTTCAGAGAGGGGGAAATGTTCTACGAAATCCAAACATTTAAGCTGCGCTGCATGTTCCCAACCCATGCCAGATGCATATAAGCGAAGGATCTGTTCCATTTGTTCTAAAGAGGCTTCTGAGGAAGCAAAGAAATCTGAAATGACTTTCCTAAATTGGTTCTAGCAAAGTCTGCAACAAACATTTGTTGAAATGCAGACAGCAGCCATTCAGTCTGCTCAGGCCTCTGCTTCCTAGGTTTTTATAGTAATAAATCCGGCTAAGAAAAGGCCTACATCCTGGGAATTATCTGACGTAAGCTACATAGTTACATAGCTGAAACGAGACTTGAGTCCATGTTCAGCCTTTCTCACATTTGTTTTTTGCTGTTGATCCAAAAGAAGGCAAAAAACCCAGTTTGAAGCACAATTTTGCAACAAGCTAGGAAAAAAAATCCTTCTTGACCCCAGAATGGAAGTCAGATTTATCTCTGTTTCTTCTAGGTCAGAATCGAGGAATGAGGATTCTTCTGATGAATTTTCCTTTCCAGAGGAATCATTTGAAAACTGGTAAAGGAAGTCCAGTTTCTGATTGGGGATAAGGAACAGTTCAGGAGCAAAGGAAATAAATCCAAGGTTTATCCTTTTCATCCACAGTTAAAGAATTTGATTCTAAGGGAATGGAAATTCCCAGGAAGGAAGACTTTTATTTCTAAACACTTTAAAACTCTCTTTTCCATCAATGAGGATCCCGAGTGCCTCTTAGATCCCTTACCATCAGTAGACATCCCTATAGCTCAGCTTGGAAAGAAGACCACTTTACCCATAGGGGATTCCAGTGGCTTGAAAGATGCCATGGAGAAACGTATTGATTCTTCCTTAAAGAAACTGTTTGTCTCTTCAGCATCTCAATCCAAAGCACTGATTGCAGGTTTCCAGTGGCAAAGGCACAGAAACTTTGGCTGGAAGAATTAGAAAAGATTTATGTGGATGAATCCAAAGAAATCCAGTCAAGTTGTTACAAAATATCAAGATAGCATCTGACTTCCTAGTTGATTCCTCTTCAGAAAGTCTGAGGATCTCAGCTAAGACCATGGGTTTATCTTCCTTGGCAAGAAGAGCAGTAAGGTTGAGAAGCTGGTTGGCTGATTCAGCATCCAAAAATTCTCTGATATTCCATTTGAACCAGGCAGACTTTTTGGTTCTAAACGAAATGATCTTTTGAAGCAAATGAAGAATGGTAAGAAGGCCTTACCTGAAGATAACAAAGCAACATGGGAACAAAAGATTTTTAGAGACCAACCCGCTTACAGAGGCTCCTTTCAGAGAGACTCTTACAGGGGTCAACAAAGGAAGGTATTTGATTACAGGAGAAAAGATAAGTTCTCTGACAAAAAGAATAGAAATTTATGACTCCATTCCTGTTGGAGGAAGACTCACGGTCTTTCTGGATTGCTGGCAGAAAACTACCTCGGATTGCTGGATTCTTTCAGTGATAAGGAATGGTTACTATCTGGATCTATCAGAGATCCCAAAAAAAATATGTTATGATCTTCAGTCCACTCGACTGCGACAGAACATGCTCTGATGGGAGAAGTGTCATAGCTTCTTCAAAAGTATGTTCTATAAAGGGAGCATCTAAAAGAGATTCCTGGGCACGTATTCAAGGCTCTTTTTAGTTCCAAAGCCAAACTGTTCTTACAGACCCATTCTAGATCTCAAAGACAGACCAGAGGCCATAGAATCCCTTTCTATTCCAGGGAAGTTCAGTCTAGCCTTTGTGTTTTCCTCCTATTTCGCTCATTCCCAGGATTCTACAGAAGATCAGGATGGTATGGTTGAAAAGGATCATAATTCTCCCTTGGTGGCCGAGAAAGTCGGTTCTCCTAAATATACACAGTTCAACCTTTTGGAAATTTCACCTGTTAGTAGACGTACTGGAACACTCCATGGTACCACTTCCGACTCTGAAAAAAATTCAAATTGACGACCTGGTTTCTTAATACCAGATATTAAAGAGAAGGGGTTTGTCTCCTGAAGTTAAGATTTTGACAGCTGCTAAAAAAGAATCTACTTCCAAGATTTATTCCAGAATATGGAAGAAGTTTTGTTGTTGGTGTATTAAGGTCAAAGAAAATCCAGTAACCACTTTCATTCCAAACATCCTTAGTTTCCTGCAGATGGGCTTTGCGAAAGGATTAAAACCAGCCACGCTCAAGGTCCAAATTTTGGCTATACGTTTCTTTTCGTTCAGATGTTTGGCTTTGAATATTCTAATCACCAGATTTTTCAAAGCGCTGTCTCGATTGGTTCCTAACATCAGGGAAACTTTTCCTCCGTGGGATCTTAATTTGTTTTTATCAGCTCTCTGCGAACCTCCGTTTGAACCTCTAGAAAAGTATTCTCTGAAGGTTTTAGCGTTCAAGACCTTGTTTTTGGTGGATATTACCTCGGCTAAAAGATTGGGAGAACTTCAAGCTCTGAATTCAAATTTTCCTTTTTTAGTTTTCCATCAGGACAAAGTTCTGTTAAAGCTGGATCCTTCTTTTATTCCCAAGGTTTGTTCTTCCTCCACCATCAATCAAGAAATAATTCTACCTACTTTTTGCAAACAGCCTTAGAAGTCAAATTCCACTGCCTGGACGTTAAGAGATCTCTGCTGCTGTATCTGGAAAGTATAAAGTCCTTTAGGAAATCTAACAGTCTTTTTGTCTTGTTTCATGGTCCTAGAAGAGGTTTGATGGCTTAAAAAGGCTCCCTGGCCAGATAGTTGAAAGATTGCATTTGTTTGGCTTATTCCACATCTAACGTTTCTGCACCTAGCTCCATTAAAGCTCATTCTACCAGAGCTATGTCCACATCTTGGGCCCTGCTGGCTTCTGCTACACCTTTGTTCTGCAGCCATGTTGTCATCTCTTCATACGTTTGCTAAACATTACAAATTAGACATACTGGCCTTTGAAGACGCAACTTTTGGGCACAAGGTGTTACAAGCAGTTGTGAAATGACTCCCGCCCTTAGGGGATTGCTTTGATTATCCCTGTTGTAAAGCACTGCCTTTAATCTTAAGGGAAAAGCTACAATTTTTACTTACCGTAAATGTATTTTTCCTGAAGATTAGAGGCAGTGCTCACTCCCCTCCACCCCCCCCATGTTCTAATAAACTAAATTTTGCACTTAAGTGGCTTTTGTATTCTGGGGTTGTTTGGGGTAAGTGACACTTTATAGTGCAAAATATAATTGGGGGAGGTATTTAAAAACATTTTGGGGATTGCCTGCCTGTTTTTTTCCCTCCAGATTAGAAATCCCTGTTGTAAAGCACTGCCTCTAATCATGAAAAATAAATTTAAGGTAAGTAAAATTTTTATCTTTTTGCTGATATCCATGTTCTTCTCAAGGAATTCTTGAATATTATCCTTTAATAGCCCTTCAAATATTTTCCCAGTTACAGCTCACAGGTCTATCATTTCCAGGCAAGGATTTTGAACCCTTTTTGAATATAGGAAACACATCTGCCTTCCTACAATCCTCTAGACCACTTCCTGAAAGAAAAGAATCTTGAAAGATTAAAAAGATGTTCACTTATTTCTACACTTCGTTCCTTAAGTACTCGTGGATGGATACCGTCAGGCCCTGGAGCTTTGTTTATATTAACTTTCTTTAGTTGCTGCAGCACCTTGTCTTGAGTTAACCAATTAAAAATTTTCTGCAAGTTTTTAGCAGCAATCATTTGCACATCTAATGCCATGGGTTCTTCCTTTATATATACGAAGGAGAAATGGTCATTTAAAATTCCCTCCTTTTCCTGGTCTTCATTAACGAACACCCCCATTCCAGTTTTTAGTGTACCTACACTTTCATTTAAAAAAAAAAATTTTTTTTTAAAAGAATTTATGTACTTAAAGAATGCTTTGGGGTTGGTTTTGCTCTTTGGCCATCATTTTCATTTGTTATTGCTTTTCAAGTTGAAGTAACATAATAACAGTTATGTAGAATTGTTTTATTCATTAGAACCCTTAATTACTTGGATGTACTCTAGTACTTTAGTATTCTCTATATGCGTTCCAAACGGAAGTACCACCCAGAAGAGCGTTGCCGGCGGACTTTAAAAAGACGCAAGGGAGACTCTGGATACCACAACTACTGAGGAAGCCCCCACCATAGAGCAAAACACGTTTTGGACCACCAAAGGACTTTTCAGGCATAAGCCAGAGACCCATTGGACTCTCATAACGATACGTTTTTATTGCATTTTATATTTTGCTATTATATTGTCCTAACATCTGATATTCATTACTACATCATATTTGAGAGAAGCAAGTGCTCGATAGAACGCAGTAATCATTTACATCCTTTTAGTTATGGACGATATGGACACCGTCCCACACATGCGCAATACAGCAGTGGAATGCAGCAACACAAGCCATGCGCTCCAATGACGCAAGAGGTGCGATCAGGAAGTACGCACGAAGTGGAACGCACGATGCATTTCAAATGAAAGGGACCACCCGGTGGGCTTTAAAAAGATGCAAGGGAGACTCTCTGGATACCACACTGACTGAGGAAGCCCCCACCATAGGGAGAAACGACTTTCGGACTACCAGACAACTTTAGGCATAAGCAAGAGACCCATTGGACTCTCGTAACTATACCTTTTTATTGCATTTTATATTTTGTTTTATAACTTATACCTAATAAAGGATCTTCATTGGAAAAAAAGTATCAACGCCTATTTCTACTCAGAACACCTGCTAACCACAATAAGGGAAAGACCAAGAGAGGACGGGGACATCACATTAAGAGTCCCACTGCGCTTTCCACGAGAGCCATATGTGTGAATTTGGCTCCATGTTTGTGAGTGATACTATTAATACATGTTATATTGTACAGACTATTGCACTATCTCGCACTCTTATTTCTCTACAAAGATAAGCTACAGATGCTCCACCTGTTGTATGTATGATTTTATTTGGAGTGGTGTGTGGGGATTCCACTCAGATGTTTAGAGCATCCATTGTTGCCATTCACCCTTAACTGTGTATCATATTAATTAGATTAAAAACACTACAGCCTGCTGTTATGATGGTAGGAGTACCCTGACGCAATTCCAGGGTACTGGTAGTGGCAATCCTGCTGCTATTTCATTGATTGACAGTCTGTGCACAGAATTTACATTTGCCAGCGCCGAATGCTCATTCCAGGCTGGCTAAAGATGCTGCTCGAGGTATCTCTGTGTGTGTGTGTATGTACAGTATTTCATATTGAAACACTGCGCATACATGCTCTTTGCTCCATGACTAGTTGATAACACTGAAGTGGTTGTAATGCTTGGAGTAACCCTTTAATCTGTCATAAATGTATGTGTGAAACACGTGCTAAATTTTGAGAAAATGTTTTTGAAAGTAATCAATAGCATTTCTTTTGGAAATTCAATGTTGTACCCTACAAATTGCATTATGTGGTTGCAAATTGAAAACTAACAGTTTCTACCCAGTTGCAACTTTTAAAAGATGTTAACGTTCTACACTTATATTTTTTTGTTGACAAACATTAAAGAAACACTATAGCATTAGGAATACAAACCCGTATGTACACTATATTGTTTTCTGCTTTTAGTCTTACTTCCCACACCAAATCTAAATACAAAAGGAAAAGTGATTTAATGTATTTCTTAGCACCTAAATCCATTTTCTTGAACTGTCTCCTGCAACATCACACCAACACTTGTCATCCATTCCTGTGCTCCCAATTGAGGAGCACTGGGGACAAAAAGAGCATGTGTAGTCAAATAAAGGTTAGCTATGAGAAAACACCTCTAGTGGCTGTAATCATTGCGGTGTATGTACTAAGCTACTACTAAATTTAAAGAGGTGGAAAAAGAGAAGTGAAACAGAGCACCGTAAACAAAGCTGGGAAAAGAAGCAGCTGATGAAAAAAATCCTACAGATGTGCCCCAAATTCACAAAAAATAGGATGTAAATGTGTTTTCTAAACTTTAATAAATATCCACCGAAGTAATAGACTCTTTCTCTGGTACTTTCTTGCTGTGATAAAACTGTTTAACTTTTTTTTATTGCAGTATCTTTGCATTAGTAACCTGTGTCAATTGTTGAGATCAACTGATTTATTATATATATATATTTATGAAATTTGTATTTATAGGTTGAAAGAAACAAGCCAGTAGCTAGACAGGCACCAGGAAAACGTAAATGTAATTGTCGCCAAGAAATGAGGACCACTCAGCTGGGACCTGGCCGCTTTCAGATGACACAAGAAGTTGTTTGTGATGAATGTCCCAATGTCAAGTAAGTGTTGATTAGAACTATAATCTTGCATTCAGATGCATTGTCCATACCATGTAAAGCAGACCGTAATTTGGAAAGCATGTGACTTAAAGTAGAAAGCAACACAAAAAGAGAAGTCATCTTAAAGGACCACTATAAGCACCCAGACCACTTCAGCTCAATGAAGGGGTCTGGGTGCCAGGTCCACCTAGTTTTAACCCTGCAGCTAAAAACATAGCAGTTTCATAGAAACTGCTATGTTTACATTGAGGGTTAATCCAGCCTCTAGTTGCGGTCTCCCTGACAGCCACTAGAGGCCGCTTCCGCGGTCCTCAATGTGAAAATCGCATTGAACTCGCGCTGGACGTCCATAGGAACGCATTGAGTAATGCTTTCCTATGGGTGGTTTGAATGCACGTGTGGCTCTGGCCATGCATGCGCATTCGGAGCTGACGTCAGTAGGGGGAGGAGAGGTCACCAGCGCAGAGGGAGCCTGGCGCTGGATTAAGGTTAGTGGCTGAAAGGGTTTTAACCCCCTTCAGCCCAGCAGGAGGGGGACGACGACCTAATAACCCTATAGTGCCAGGAAAACAAGTTTGATTTCCTGGCATTATAGTGTTCCTTAAAAAAAAAAAAAAAAAACTTGCCTACATTTTTTTCATTTAGTTTTTTCTGCTACCAAAATGCCTGCCCTTTTGGATGTGAGCAGATGAAGCGTGTTGTGTAGCTCCATGCTCCTTGTCGCTTACTTGTTACCTGTTCATATTTTTATGACAATAAAATGCGAGCAGTATTCTTGGCCTCCCTTCAAGCACACACTGCTCACAGCATATTATTGCCGTGGTGTTTTTTTTTTTTGAATATTTTTTTCTTTTAAGTCATGCCTCTTGAAACCGTAGTTTCAAAATATTTTGGAAAGGAACGGCATTCACCAATCAATACAGTGAATCAGCGATATGGTGTTTACTATGGTGTTTACTTCCTCATAAATTGTAGGCAAAAATAAAAGTATCCTGTGGGAAACAATCTCTATCCCAAATTGCATACATTATTGAAGTTGAACTGTTATTGAGCCAAAACATTGCCTGTTCAACTTAAATAAATTCTGCAATTTGATATGGAGCCTGTGTGTGACCGGGTACTTTTTATATTTTTCTTTCTTACTTTTCTTTTTTTTCCTCTTGAAACAGTATGACAAAAAATAGTGACATTGCACATGCAGATTTCTTGTATCATATTATAACTGAAATAAGTTGTAGTAGTTATAATGCTTACAGTGTTTTTGTGTAACAGTGTGTAATATGCTTAGAGCTATTTTTTTAAAATAAATCTGTGGATCTTGACCTTTTAATACCTGTGTTTTTTTTATATCCTCTGTAAGAGCTTTTAAACTCTTAAATTGCACATGTATCACCCACATATTTGATTTTCTTTAAATGGCACTACAAAGTATTTCCTTGCCCTTTATCTTCCCTCATATCATAAGGTTTTAATCACCAGTAGTCTGCAATTGCTATCTTACTTTGACTGCAAATGTCATTACACACATACAATATGTTTTTAGTAAGCATGCCTCACCTTTCTTTAATGTTCTTTGCAGCATATTCACCATATCTGATGTCAAGTTTGTTTGCTTTTGCCTAATTCTTGTGCCCAACAACTTGGGAAAAGATATTGGGCTTGATGTGTTTTTTTTTTTTTTTTTTTAAGATGGAAATTGAGTGAGGCAGACATTTTATGAATGAGCTCCCATGCGTTATTCTAATTGGCTTCCACCATATATTTTGCTCTTATCACTCAATGTAAGAAATGGGGTAGAAATGTAAGCCTGTGCATGTTCCAGACCTGTTAACAGGATATTGCCAAATTTATGACCAGGCTAGATGGGCCACACAACCTTACAGATGGTAGGCCAGCCATGTGATTCTGGCTCAACCCCTCTAATAAACTAAGCCGGTATGTTGGCCTCCTACAAGACGTATATCCACTCTTCTATTGCAAATTAAGCTTCACTAGTGACAGTTTGACATTAAGGTGTTTATGCTGAATCGATTTAGTTTCATGTATGGTTTTCACATTAAAGCAGTCTGAGTGAAGAACAACAAGGACCTACAAATATTTGGCTATAGGTGACACCCAGTTTTCTGTAAAACCATATGGGAGAAGTTGGAGGTAAAACTAAATCTGGGGGTTTCCAGAGGTCACATAGTCTCCAGCTGACTTGATATTGCAGAATTTGCAATTCCTCACTGTCATTAATCTAACCTGACCATGTCACTCTTATTAATCTTGGCCAGCTCGGACAAGTATGTTCTAGTTCTGCACTAATATTAAAGAAACTTAGCCCTATCCCTAATCCTATGACACAGTATACTTGAACGTGAAAAGTCCAGAATTGCAAAGCGTGCACTAAGGGAAACTAAAGTCACCATGAGGTTCTAGAGATCTTCATAAACCATTCACCATTTGATCTCTTGTGTCTCCAGAACATCATTCTGTACCGTTATGTATCCTCTATCTATGGACATATTTAAGAAGGTTTTAACACTACCTTTTCTAATGTGCTTGATTTTAAATCCGATATAGTTCATTTGAGCATTTGGTGGTGTTTTGTTTTGTTTATTCTAGTTGTACTTTGTATTACATCAGCACAGTTAAACAGCCAAATTCAATAGGTAAAGTGACTAAATAGTATCTATCACCACTGAGTATAGATTTTATGTTACAGCAGCAGATTATCTGATCTGTTTCGTTATTTTTTTCAGTGTTGTGTTATCGTAGTATGCCACTTACCACTTTAGAATTTCTTGAACAATTCGATAACGCTAATTGTTTTTTTTTTTACATGATATTAATACATATGCATTTTACTGCAGACTTATTAACGAGCAACGGACTTTAGAAGTAGAAATTGAGCCTGGTGTTCGAGATGGAATGGAATACCCATTCATTGGGGAAGGTAAGGATATTTTGTGTGTGTAATATCTAAATATAAAATATGAACTTGTTACGTTTTGCTTTCTTTTGTACTTCACAATTCTTTTTCTTATTCTATTAGGTGAACCTCATATTGATGGAGAACCAGGAGACCTACGTTTTAAAATCAAAGTTCTCAAGTAGGTTATTCTTAATTTACAGTGTAGTGAATAACCCTGTAAGTTTTGAAGTGCATTTGCTAATGTTTTATGTTACATTTTAAATCTAACCTTTTTGCTTATTTCTATCTACGGGGACTTGACTTGTATATCTCCTTTTACCAATTTAAGGATACAAGAGGGCCACATGGTCTAAATGTCTTGTTCCATCTAAGACTGCTTAATAATCTTATAGGGATTATGAATTAATGTCTCATTTTTATTAGTTTGAACATTAGTCTTTTTTTTTTTATAATTCTGAGTGTAATCTGAAAAAAATGCATTAATTCTTATTGGTTATCTGCATTTGGTTGTTAAAAAAAAAAAAAAAATTGATTACTTTTATATCTATCTCGATTAAGATGGATGTGGAGATGGAATTTTTTTTTTTTATGTTCTCATACATTGAGTTAATGGAAGCACACAACCTATTTCTGTGTTTGGCTTCTGCTCCAGGTTACAACCAGACATGTTTGTTTGTTTTTACTTTCTGCAGAGGAAGAGGTTTATGCAATTTTAACTCAAAGGTTAACTTATTAAAAACTATATCTACATCTATATATAAATAAAATATATATAAATAAGAACCAGTAAAGAAAGCAAAAAATAACACTGACCTCAATCAAAATATCTGTTTTGTATTTACACAGGCACCCAATATTTGAGAGAAGAGGAGATGACCTTTACACAAATGTAACCATATCTCTAGTGGAAGCCCTTACTGGGTTTGAAATGCATATTACTCATCTGGATGGTCACAAGGTAAAAAAAAAAAAAAGATGTAATCCGGGGAAGACCGTACCACCAGTAATACCTACAGTACATGTGTGGCATTCACCTTGCTCCCTCAGTCCAATGCACTTCTCATAAAGAAGCATTATTTCCAGTGTTTCTCCATGAAGGGCATTTGCAGCATAATCATTCAGTTTAACGTTGTTGCAAACTGAATGCTTATGCTGCTATATAAGAGAGGAAAAAGCAGTCTGCATCAATTGAAAAAGCAGCGGTAACGGTGAAACGCGTTTGGATAGGACTGCATGTTCATCACTGAGAGCCAGCACTGAGTCCATGTCCCTACGACTGTAACCAGTATATCTCCACACTCTACTGACTCAGAACGCCGAGTAATACATTTAAGGTCGGCACTTCTCATGCTCACTCTGTTTCAGAGATTATACAGACGAAAGAAAGCTTGTTTAGTTTTTATCTTAGTTTTTATGTCTTATGAGCTATGACGCAAATTTTTTATTTTTATTTTTTTTTTAGCACTAAACCTTTTGCTGGTGTATAGTGTATACTACAAATATAGGATCTATTAACTAATTTTAGTTTTTTCTGTCATTTATTTTTCATGAATTGGAGTTATAGCATGGCATAACAGCATCCAGGGAGATCACCTGGATTTAACCAACAATACAGACTTATCACTGGACTTTTATTTGCATTTAAGTCTATTTCATTCAGTTTTTTTATTTATAATTTTTTTGTGCTGTGACTATTTTTTTTTTTTTTTTTTTCCAAGTACATATATAGTCACTCAATTAGAGTATATATTACTATGATATGATATTCTAGACAGATATATTGTATATTGACAGAGATCATGGGTATTTCGTTTTTTTTTTTTTTCCATCCAGTCCTGGGCTCTTGTTGGGTTTAATGGTTTTTAGTGTGTTCGCTATTTCCTCCGTTGTGATAGGGGCAGACAGTCTTTCTATCTCCGTGTTCGTTAGTGAAGGGAGAGGAGTGTTCCGGAGGTATGTCTCGATGTCGTGTGTTAGGGTTGGCGATGGATCAGGATTGTGATTATAAAGTGTGAAGTATTGGGAGAAAATCCTCGCTATACGATCCGGGCTTTCGTGTGTGCTTCCTCCCGGGGAGTTTATTTTAGTAATGCGTTTATTGTGTGTTTTTTGGCGTAGTTTACGGGCTAAGAGGGTGTCTGCCTTGTTTGATTTTTTTGTAAAAGAGCTGTTTGCTCCATTGGAGGGCTCTTTGTGAATCTTTGGCCATGTAGGATTTAATGGCTTGTTGGTGAGTTTTGATCTGTGTTAAAATTGGTGTGGTTGGGTGTTGTTTGTGTTGGATCTCTAGGGCCCTCAGCGAGAGGCGGTGGTCCTTCAGTTCCTGCAATTTTTGCTTTTTGTGTTTTGTGGCCTCCGCTATCAGTTTGCCCCTTATGGTCGCTTTGTGTGCTGCCCATAATATGCCTGTGGATTAATTGGAAGTACTCTGTGAGTGTCGTTTGGGTGGACGCCCTTATTTCAGGGATGTGTAGGAGTGTTGGGTTTAATCGCCATGACCATGTTCTAGCTGTTTGTGGAATTAATAGTGTTAGGGTTATCTCTGCGTGGTCGGACCACGTGATCGTGCCTATAGATGTTGTTGTAATGTCTTGGGTTAGGAGGGACGGGGATATCAGGAACATATCAATCCTAGAGTATGAGAGATGAGGGTGGGAATAAAAAGTGAAGTCAAGAGTTGTGGGGTTTTGCATTCTCCATATATCTTGGAGACCTGAGTGGAGTACAAAGTTCGAGAGTAGTTTGTCTATTTTGGCTGCTGGGGTAGTTTTACCAGTACGTGTGGGTTGTCGTCGGTCTGTTTGGGGGTCGATGACTGCGTTAAAGTCCCCCCCTGTGATCATGTGGTGGGAGGGGAACAGTTTGAGGTGGGCTTGGATGGCTGTCCAGAAGGATGGGTCTGGGTTGTTGGGGGCATATAGTGTAGTGATCGCATATTTGTGAGTGCCTTGCTGTCCTGTTATAGTGAGGAATCTGCCTTGAGGGTCAGCTGTGGTGTTTGTGAAGCTGATGGGGCATGTGTTCCGGATGAGTATTGCCACTCCATTACGTTTTCAGGTTGGGGAGTTTGCAAAGTGACATTCTTTGTAGTGTCTGTTTCTAAGTGGGAATGGTCATGAGGTCTCAAAGTGCGTTTCTTGGAGGAGTATTATGTCTGCTCCCGTTCTATTGGCCCAGCGCATCAGCTGGTGGCGTTTAGCTGGGTTGTTTAGGCCTTTGCAGTTGAGTGAGATGCATTTCATTGTCTTGATATTAGCTGGGGGTGTGGGTCTGTTTAGTTATGTAGATTGCGGAGGACCCGGGGTTTCTCGTCCTTTAGGGTGAGTGGTTCCAGGAGGGGGGTTGTGGGGGGTAGGGTAGAGGTAAGGGTTGTGGGGTTTTAGTATCCAAAAAGGGGATGGAGAAAGGGGTGTCGGTGTGCCCTGGTCTTACTATAGGATCGCCAGGTGGTGTTGGGGGGGTTGTATGTGGTGCCTTTAGGGTTGGGGTAGGTGTGGTGTGGTCCCCTTGTGGGGGGTACTGTGGGTTGTGGTGAGGGAGAGAGGAGGAAGGTCTTTCACGTTCCCGTCACCCTCTCTCCCCCTGCACAGTTGCCAGTGTATCACTCATGGTTGGTCGGTGGGTTTTTAGTCGGTTCGTTGTGCCTATTCTTATGGTGGTTTGTTGGTACGGGGTAAGATGCTCCGTTTTCCGTCTTTCTTTCTTCTGTGTCGTATGTAAGTCTGTGTTGTCACTTGTGAGGTTCGCTTGGAAGAGGAAAAAAAACATTTTAACATATATATATACAAGGAAAACTTTAACATTTTGTAATAACTGTGGTTTTCGCCTCAGCTTAACCTGTGTGTTGACTTTCAAGGAAGTTAATTATCTCGGTCAAATGCCTAGATGTGCCCTATGTGGGTTTTCACTTAGTTCTATCCCCCCTCTCCTCCCCTTCTGCGGTTCTGTCTCTGTTTTTCTAATGGTTTCGTCGTCGTCTCTCCCTTTCTTCCCCCTATCCTTCTGTTGTCCTGTCTGTTGTATGATCAGTGTCAGTGTTGTTTGTGTGTGTTTTCCTTAGTCCGGGGGGGTGTAGTGAGTGTTAGTGCGTCTAGTGGTCCGTCTGGTCTGGAGTGTGATTCACCCTCTTTCCCCTTCCCTTGATATTTTTAGGCCCTATGTGGCCAGTCTTGTCTCTCCCTCTCTGCATTTTCCCCCATTACCCTTGTGGTAATCACGTTCTATAGTTTAAAAGATTGTAAGAGTAATGTCTCTAGCGTTCTCGTATTTCTTGTTTGGTGCTCTCTTCAGATCCGAGGCGGTTTTGGAGTGGGGATGTCTTTCACTGGATCAGTTGGGTGGAACGGGGTCAGGGCTCATTGGTGTGTGTTGGCGATTTCTCTTCTGGTGTTATGAGGGTCAAGCTGTGGCCGTAAAGGTTTCAAAGGGGTACAGGTCCGGTGATGCGATGTGGGTCAGATCTTTTATGGGGGATGTTTGAGAGTTCCGAGGGGGGGACCTCTTGGTTTTATCTCGAGCAGTGTCCCGGGGGGGAGGAGGTTGCCATGGGCTTGGGGTTCTCATTTCTTTTGGTTCCGGATCCATAGGGCTGATTCTTCGTGGTAAAGTTCCTCTTATTCGGCGTCTGTCCTGTTCTTCTAGCGGCCTGAGCGGTGCGGCGGGGATTGTTCCCCTTGACGTCTAGCAGCGGTGTTGTCTTCTATGGCGTGGGGGGGTCTTTTCTGTTTGGCCGGATGCGGGGATGTAGCTCTGTCTCTGGAGCGGTCTCTTCCCCTGTATCCCGTTAGCGGTGTGGGGTTCAGGAGCTGAATTCCCAGAGAGTCCGCCATTGGGCCCATATCTGCGGCTGTGGTGAGGATATGGGTTTGGTCGCCTTTTTTGACCAGCAGTTTAAAGGGGTGGCCCCAAGTGTATTTTAGCCCCTGTTCTTGGAGGGCCAAGGTGAGGGGTTTTAGATCTCTCCTCTTCTTTAATGTAGTTGGGGCCAAGTCCTGGAAGAAGGTTAGGCGGACGTCTTTATACTTGGGAGGGCGGTTTCTGGCTAGTTGCATTAATTTTTCTTTGGTTTGGAAGTAGTGGAGGCGGATAATTACGTCTCTTGGGGTAGAGAGATTCAGATTAGGGGGTCGTAGCGCTCTGTGAGCCCGGTCCATTTCCAGGAGTGGCAGCGGTAGTTCCGGTGCCATTGCAGAAAAGATGTCTTTCAGGGTGGTGCTTAGGGTCTCTGGCTGGACTGCTTCGGGTAAGCCACGGATTCGGATGTTATTCCTCCGTGATCTGTTGTTAAGGTCCTCCAGGTTGTCCTCCATGGCCGTGAGGCGGCCATGGAGGTAGATTTCTTGGGACTGCGAGGTAGCTGTCAGTGTTGTGAGACATACCTCTGTCTGGTCCGTGCGGGCAGTCAGTGTCTGTACTTCTGCTCTGAGGCCTGCTAAGTTTCTGCTGATCTCCTCTGCCACGTGGGATTTTTATGTCCGCTGTGGCCTCCTTCAGCATGTCCCTGAGGCTCCCGATGGTGAGGGGGGTCGAGGGGTCAAATGTGGGGTCGGTCCCCTCTGGGTCTGTACCTTGGTCGTCCCCATGATAGGAGTAGGTAGGCCTCTGGGAGTCCCCCGGCGTGCGGAACATGAAGGCTACCGACGGAGTGAGCTCTTTCTTTTTCTTCCCGCCGCCCATATTGTGGAGCCTGGTGTTGGGTGGTCACCTGGAGGCTGTTTGGGGGGTGTTTGGGCCGTGTGTGATGCGGATGATGGCTGATTCTGTGCCTGGGGGAGAGGGAGCTGTGAGATCAGGCGTCCATCTTCCTCCGAGGTTAGGCTCCGCCCCCCTCGTTACATTTTTTTTTTTTTTTTTTTATGGAAAAATGTAGTTGAAAACCCATAAGTATACCAAAACAGTCTCATCTTTCAATTCATTTCACAGTGCAAATATTTGCTTAGCCCTCTTTATATGAATATTATTTTCAACTTAAGATACAATTTTGTTAATTTCTTAATAGTTAAGATGTTAAATTAAAAACAAACCAAAAAAAATACATTAATTGCTACAGTTAACATACCAATGAGGTATATTTTTATAGACACAAATTAAATGTGATTCCGGCAGCAACAGCTGGATTGTCAACCAGTTTGCATTTAATGAAGGAGCTGATTGTCCAGTTTAGCCTTTGTGGTTAAATTGAACTTTTATGATGAAAATGATTAAGAGCTTCGTGAATGTTCTTCTGTGTTAAATGCACGTTTAAAATAATGGCTAAACCATTTTGTTTATATGACTCATGTAAATGTTATTTTACATACAGGTTCACATAATGCGAGATAAGATCACTAAGCCTGGAGCAAAACTTTGGAAGAAAGGAGAAGGACTCCCCAACTTTGACAATAACAACATCAAGGGCTCACTAATTATTACGTTTGATGTGGATTTTCCTAAAGAACAGTTAACTGAAGAAGAGAAGAAAGGTATAAAATTATATATGGCAATATTTTCTCCAACCACCATCCTAGCCAAAAAACAAACAAACACACAAACAATGATGAAATGTATTTCAAACATCTTCCTTCTATGCTCCACGCATGCATGGGAAATCATTTACTGACACATATTCACTTTGTACTAAGTCGGGGGATCTTTTTCCTCAAATACCAGTCTTTGCAAGCATCCCTGGCAATGTACAAGAACATAAAGAGGAAACCGCACTCTTACTTCATGCTGGTCCTGGTGCATCCAGACCTGGGGCTAGCTAACCCCACTCCAATGGTAAAAAGAACAATGTAGTCCAAGCACCCAGGATTACTTATGCAGCAGTTTTATTGGAATAACATTTTGATCTCCATTGAGATTTTTTCAAGCATCCCTTTCAAAGCATTTTTTTTACCATTTCACAGAGATGTAGAATCCTTTCGTGTTTGCAGGACGGTGCACAATGACTGTATGGCAGAGAGTAGCTTTGCCAAGGGCCAAGCTTAGACTGAAACTCTGTGTATCACCGCCTGGTATGGTATAAGGCAGAGCTAATTTTAATCTTTTATTATAACTATTATTATTTATTCAGAAAATCAGCAACACATTCCACAGGGCTGTCCATGTGTACAATTGATACAAGTAAAAAGAAAAAGGTACAATACAAAGTTTAACAAACAAATACAGGATGAGTTGAGGGTCTATTCTCATGGAAACCTACAATACATGACTTTACAAAGCAGTCATTGTGGGTTGAGTTGTGAGTGTCGAGGGACACCTCATACCTGTTAAATGTAATAACATTTTGCCAATGAGTTAAAGTGGTTATGGTGCCTACAATGTCTCTTAAAGACCGTTTCCAGATGTTGTAACTTCCTCCTATAGAACACAGTTTAATTTTTAACCATATTATAGGAACTGTGTAGTCATTATAAGGGAAAGTGATTTTATGAAGCAATGATACCTATTTAGTTTGTAAGTGAATTTCAGTGTTAGTGTGGAAAATAGCCATTTATATTTGTACGGTTTTGAATTATGTGCCAAACACATTTATTTAAAACTTTATGAATATAATTACGAAACCACTGTTCATGTCAGTTCTTTCTGTAGCTGTCAACACATCCAATGTTCTGATTATTTACCGTGCATATAACGTGTTATTTTTAGCACTATATTTGCACATACTTTCAGGCATATTGATTGGGCAGCAAAGTAACCTCTCTGTGAAATCTAGTTGGTACTAGTACAGTAACCATAGCAGAGTTCAAAACCTTTACTTGCCCACTTACCATTGATGAGTGCAACTTCAGTCCTGACAAGTCTGCCATGGAACCTCGCTATCTCTTAAGGTCTTCGGTGCTGTAACAGGAGCAGCGTATTGTAACTGTAGCAGCCCCTATGTATTTTCGGCTTGACTAGTACGGTAAGACTTTCAATTGCGGCATGTAAGATGAAAGAAGCCGTCTCAGTGCCATAATCACTAAAGCTCTTTGTAGTGGTTATAGTGCTACCGGCATCAATCCCTTTTTCTGTGTGAAACCGTTTTCCAGAAGTTTATCATAATCCAAGTGTTCCCTGGCATCAGTTGACTTGCCATATTGCTAATGCAGAAGTAATACTTCTCCATTAGTGATATTAATTAGTCCAAATTTATGTGACCGTAAAGGGCTGAGCCAGTCACCACTGTCAGCCCACCAATCCTTTACAAATAAGGACAAAACTGGTATTGCTAACTCTGAAGTATTAATTCCATATTGACAATATAGCAAACAAGGGGCTTCGCTGCTGTTGTGCTCAGTCTTAATGTTTGATAAACAGAGTGAAAATGTCATAATTGTTGAGGATCTGTCTTCAAGATATAAGCCAGCATTGTATCACTGAACAAAGAGGCTTTTACTATGGAAATAGAATTATTCTGATTTTTGTATGTACACATACACCAGATTGTCTTAAGTACCGTATATACTCGAGTATAAGTCGACCCGAATAAAAGTCGAGACCCTTAATTTTACCCCAAAAAACTGGGAAAACGTATTGACTCTAGTATAAGACTAGGGTGGTACTACTGGTAAATTTCTAAATAAAATTAGATACCCCAAAAATTATATTAATTGAATATGTATTTACAGTGTGTGTATCTAATGAATGCAGTGTGTGTGTATATATAATGCAGTGTGCTTGTATGAATGCGGTGTGTGTATGTGATGCAGAGCCTTGGTGGGGGGTGGGCATTTTTTTTTTTAAATATTATTACTATTTTAATTTTAATATTTAAATTTGTATTTATTTATTTTCATCCCCCCTCCCTGCTTGTTAGCTGGCCAGGGAGGGGGGCTCTCATTCCCTGGTGGTCCAGTGGATGGGCTGTGCAGGAAGGGGGCTGGCAGAGAGCTGTAACTTACCTTTCCTGCAGCTCCTGTCAGCTCCCTTCTTTCTCCTCCGTTCCGGTCAGCTCCCTTCTCCTCCCTTGTAAGTCTCGCGGTGTGGTTGCCACGGTAACCTGAGATTTACAGTGGGAGCTGACGGTGGAGCTGACCGGACCGGAGGAGAGAGAAGGGAGCTGACAGGAGCTGCAGGAAAGGTAAGTTACAGCTCTCTGCCAGCCCCCAACAGGACCGCCGGGCTTGTAATGAGCCTGGCGGTCCTGGTCTGTATTATGGCAATGTAAGTTGCCATTATACAGACATTGACTCGAGTATAAGTCGAGTGGGGGGGTTTTCAGCACAAAAAATGTGCTGAAAAACTCGACTTGTACTCGAGTATATACGGGTATATGGACCAAGGATAGTTATCTAGTTATTTGAGTCAAAATAAATACTTCCGATACAAATAATTTCTGCTGCTGCAATTAATATGCTGTATGATTCATTATTAAATGACAAGTTTCATAGCTTGTTTCCACTTTACAATAATGTTGTTTGTGTTTTAACACATTGCGTCATTCTTTTTGTTTTTATTAGATATAAAACAGTTGCTGAAGCAAGGATCTGTACAGAAGGTGTATAATGGACTTCAAGGATATTAAGAATGTATTGCATCCATGGGAAGAATAGTTGGACATTTTTGTGTATTTTTTGTTTTCATTATTATTAAATAAATTGTTACAATTCTTTAGAGAAAATCTGTAACTTACTCTACTACACTTTTTTTTTAAACGTCTCTAAATACTTACTGCAAGAAACTGGAAACAGATCTGAATTGCGTGACCGTTAACTAACTGAAGATGTGCTAAAAGAAATTAATTTGTTTAATCAATATATCAAACAGAATATTGCAGTATGTAATACAAATACCTCCATTATATAAATCTAATGAACATCTGTTTTACAATATGAGCTTTGCAAGCGTAAAAACTTGAGTGACAACTAATACAATTTTTATACAGGAATTGTGTTCCTTTTAATGCTCATCATGTGAATTGACTGATGCCTGTAATTAATATGTTCTTACATATTGAAATATTCAGTTATACTACATCTAAATAACTGCTTTCCTCACTACCCAAAGCTATGGAACCAAGTCACCCATATTTTAGCATTGCTTGATGTGGGTCTGTTTTCCATTATTCATTTTAGCTTATGGATGGAATGGGCTACTAAGCATACCTGCCTAGATTTATATTTTTTTTATTTTTTATTTTTTTCCCAAAGGTTTTTGGACCTGTAAATATATGCGGCTAAAGTAGTCCACCCCCAAGGCCTCCTCAGAACTCTGTGATGAGATGCTGCCTGCATATGCTTTGCATTATGCGACACATGTTTTCCCTACAATTTCTGATTTATATCTTTTAATTGTGTTGGAATTTTAGAGGGAGAGCTTATCTTTATGAAAAAAGCTGACGTGACAATGCCACTTTAAAATAGTGTTTTTGTATACATTTTATAAACCATATTTTAAATTTTAAAATTTTACGTAGTTATGTTTTTTTTGTTTGTTTTTAATGTGGCAAGCATACCAGATTTCTTTCTGGAGAGCTAAAATTATGCTGAGAAACAGGCTCTCTGCTTAGATATGCATTAAAAGTTCAAGGGGAGAGGGGGGGGGGTGCATGAAATACCAACCATCAAAGTGAGAGATGTTGATACTGGAACTGCCAGATGGGGATCACGTTATTGTGTGGTCTGATTTCTGAAGGCTTTTCTCTATTGGTAAATTTAGAATAATGGTTCTAACAAAAATCTGCCTGATTCCTGATTAGAAGGGTATTATGGGCAGCTGTATAATGTGCCTGTTTTAAAGGGATCCTATAGTGCCAGGAAAACAAACCTGTTTTTTCTGGCACTATAGGCTCCTGTAGTGCCGCTTACCTGAATCCAGTGCCAATATCCCGCGGCACTGGGTCAGGCTCTTGACATGCAGACGTCAGCCGGCGGGGGAGACCGCATTCGCGGCAATAGCCCACTGACGCTGGAAGTCTGTGAGGACGTCCAGCGTCAGATAACGGACCAAAAGTTAGTTTAGATTCCAGAAGCCCTCTAGTGGCTGTCTGTTAGACAGCCACTCAGGGCAGGCTTAGAGCTGCAATATAAACATTGCAGTTCTCTGGAACTGCAATGTTTAACATTGCAGCACTAAGTGCAAAAGGGACACCGCACCCAGAACACTTCAATGAGCTAAAGCGGTCTGGGTGCCTACAGTGTCCATTTAAGCAGTGGAAAGTCTGAAATAGCATGTATGTCAGGGGGTGAGAACCACTGACATACAAAGAGTGACACTTCAATGTGAATTTAAAGGCCAAAATAGCCAAACTAGAACAATAAATCAGCTATGTATCCAGTTTGGTTATTTTGGCCTTTGATTTGCAATTCACTTTGACTTTTCACTTGAGTGAATAATTATCCTAGGGTTTGTTGAAATTAAACAATTAATAAAGATGGAGTTTTATGTTTGCAACTTTGAAGTAAATTATCTATTCTATCTGTAAATAAATAGGGCTTGTCACTAAATCGTAAACTGCCTACTGAGAATTTCGAACTGATTTGCAGTGTTAATTTATTTTTTTCTGTTTAAGAAACACTATAATGTCAGGAATACAAATATGTATTCCTGACACTATAGTGGCTGTGTGGCTGTTCGATTTCCTGACTCCGGCCTTCCTTATCTACTTCGATCACTCTGAAAAGGTGATTAAAAAAGATTTCCCATGACAATCCGAACTTGCTGTGGCTGGTTCTGCCTCCAATAGGAAAGAAAGCATTGGGGGCTACTGTGCATTTGTGGCAAAATACAACACTGCACCATTCAGCATCTCATCAAAGAGATGCATTGAATCAATGCATTCATAGTCCGAATAGTCTTGAGTCCGCCAGGTATCGAGATTAAAGGCTATAAAGCAAATTTATGAGGAGCTACTGTTCCATGTTTAATGAATGCTGTACAGAAATTTTGCGATATTACGTACCCAATATTTGGTGTTTAAATTTTGTATACAGATGGTGTATACACATGCAGAGGTGAACAGAGAAATGAAAACATGCAAATTCCATTGTAATCTAGTGGTGGTCTTGATAACTCTACATTCCTTATGATGTGCAGGGTTATACATTAATGTGAGAATACCTTTAATAGGCATAAGACTATCCTAGCTATAAGATATGGCCAGGGACTAATGAAAGTCTTTAGAAAATTGGGCAGACTAGATGGGCTTTTATTTGCTGTTACATTCTATGTTTCTATGAGTACGTAGGTAATTTAGAGTGTTTACTCCCTTGTGGTCCAGTGACTACTCTCAACCAATGATTGAAATTCTGTGCAACAAACATTGCACATGTGGCGAACATAACCTCGCCATGGGTTCCTGGAGGAGCCTGCTTGCCAGGCTCTTGCCCCAGGACTGTGGGCCCTGCAAAAAGAACTGCAAAATACATTTTAAAAGACTCAGTTCGGATGGGACTTTTGTGGGGTTTCCATATGTTTTAGGGGTACTCTTGGGGTTGTGTTGTATTGCATGTTTTTCTGTGCTTGAAGATAATTGGATTAGATTAGTACAGTTCCTGATCCAATTATCTCCTAGGCACAAAGGAGGGATTATTTTATTATGTATGGGAGTGTCCTGGATCTGAGAGCCAATGTAATTGTGTATTTATTTCTACTTGGTTTACGCTCAGGTCCAAGGGGGGGGGGGGGGGAGGTGCCCTTTGTATGGGGACCTGCATATGGGGACCTGTCTGTTGTGGCTACTATTAAACAAGTTCCTGCTTACTCTCAACATAGAGTCCTTATCTCATGTTGGTAGGGAACCGCTATGCCAGCTAAATTCACCAGCTCTTGTAAGAGCTACACTGCTATACTCTCTTGGAGGAGAGGCCTTCCCACTGGGAGCTGGATCCAGGGTGGGAAGGGACGGCGAGACACCAGCCAAGCTGTGGCAGCTAAGGGGCTACGGTGCTTATGGTGTCTGGTGCGGTGCTTATGATACTCGGCGACAGCTAGGAAGCGGCAATTGGTGGAGGTACCCAGTCGAGCTGCCAGGCGGTCTGCCACACCCTTTAAATACCTGATTAAACCCCAGGCTTTGGAAAATAGAATACTCCATTTATAATTCAAGGCTCTCCCTTTTGGTCTTGCATCGGTGCAAAGAATTTTTACAAAACACCATTGGCTGCAAGGTTACGAGAAAGAGGAGTATCGATGGTGCCGTGTTTAGATGACTGGCTACTCAAAGTAGAACCAAGAATACAGTTTGAAGAAAATATTCAATTCACAATGCATCTTCTCATGAAACCTGGTTGGATCATCAATCTAAAAAAAAAAATCACAGCTTCAACCAACTTTAAAGATCCAATTCCTGGGTTTCATTGTGGTTTCCAAAAGATTATCACGGCATCTTCCTCTTCAAAAGAGAAAAAAGATCATAAGGGAAATTTGTTTCCTCTAACAAGAACCACAGTGCACTATAAGGAAATGAAGGTGTATTCTGGGAACCTTTACATAGTTACATAGCTGAAAAGAGACTTGCGTCCATCAAGTTCAGCCTTCCTCACATATGTTGTTGCTGTTGATCCAAAAGAAGGCAAAAAACCTAGTCTGAAGCGCTTCCAATTTTGCCACAAACTAGGAAAAAATTACTTCTTGACCCCAAAATAGCAGTCAGATGTCTCCTTGGATCAAGCAGCTATTACCCCACTAATTAGAAATTATATCCCTGTATGTTATGTTTTTGTAAGTATTTATCCAATTTCAGTTTAAACATCTGTAGTGACTCTGACAAAACCACCTCTTCAGGCAGAGAATTCCATTTCCTTATTGCTCTTACTGTAAAAAAACCTTTTCTCTTGCCTTAGATGAAATCTCCTTTCTTCCAGCCTAAATGTGTGACCTCTTGTCCTATGTGTAGCCCTGTTTATGAATAGATTTCCAGATAAAGGTTTGTACTGGCCCCGAATATATTTGTATAAAGCTATCATATCCCCTCTCAAACTAAACATATTAAATTTTTTTTAACCTTTCTTCATAACTAAAAAGTTCCATTCCTTTTATCAATTTTGTAGCTCGTCTCTGGACTTTTTCTAGTGCCATGATATCTTTCTTTAGAACAGGCACCCAAAATTGCACAGCATATTCAAGGTGTGGTCTTACCAGCGATTTATAAAGGGGCAACATTATATTTTCATCCCGAGAATTTGTGCCCCTATTTATACATGACAAAACCTTACTGTCCTTAGCAACTGCAGATTGACATTGCATATTGCTGCCTAATTTGTCTATAACAATTCCCAAATCCTTCTCGTGTGTGGTTATCCCTAATTCACTAGCATTTAGTGTGTAAGTTGCTTGTGCATTCTTAACCCCGAAGTGCATAACTTTGCATTTCTCTACGTTAAATTTCATCTGCCATTTTAGTGCCCAGTCCCCCAATCTATCCAAATCCCTCTGCAGCAAAGCAATAACCTGCTCACATTTTATTACTTTACAAAGTTTTGTGTCATCTGCACATAGAAGTGGTCCCAAAACAGAACCGTGAGGGACACCACTTACCACTTTAGTCCAGCCTGAAAATGTACCATTAATTACAACTCGTTGTACTCTATCCTTAAGCCAATGTTCTACCCAAGAACAAAAATATTCATCTAAACCAATTTCTTTTAGTTTGAAAACTAACCTATTGTGAGGAACCGTTTTAAATGCCTTGGCAAAATCCAAGTAGATCACATTCACTGCAACACCCTGATCTATACTTCTACTTACTTCTTCGTAGAATGCAATTAGGTTAGTTTGACATGACCTATGTTTCATAAAACCATACTGATTATTGCTAATAAAGTTATTCCCAGTGAATTCTTTAATATTAGCCCTTAATAGCCCTTCAAATATTTTCTCAGTTACAGAAGTTAAGCTCACAGGTCTATAATTTCCAGGCAAGGATTTTGAACCCTTTTTAAATATAGGAACAACATCTGCCTTCCTCCAATCCTCCGGTGCAACACCTGAAACAAAAGAATCTTGAAAAATTAAATACAGAGGTTCACTTATTTCCACACTTAGCTCCTTAAGTACTTGTGGGTGAATACCGTCAGGCTCCGGAGCTTTATTTACATTAATTTTCTTTAATAGCTGTAGCACCTTGTCTCGAGTTTTTTGCAGCAATCATTTGCATTTCCCTTGCCATAAGATCCTCATTAATATATATTGAAGAAAACGTTATTTAAAATTTCTGCTTTTTCCTGATCTTCATTAGCTAATAAACCCAACTATGTTTCCAGTGTACTTTCATGTTTTGTTTTTTTAGAATTGATGTACTTGAAAAAATTTGGGGGGTTGGTTTTGCATTCTTTAGCTATCAATTTCTAGTTTAGCCACTTTAATTGCCTTTTTGCAAGCGTTATTGGCTTTCTTATATCTTAAATAGGATGCCTCTGATTTGTGTGATTTAAATGCTTTAAATGCCCTCTTCTTATTTTTAATCTCTTGTTTTACTTCTCTACTAAGCTACATTGGTTTTAATTTGTTTCTTTTATATTTATTACACAATGGTACATACTGAGAAATGTACCTTTCTAATATTTGTTTGAATAGTTTCCATTTATCCTCAGTGTTTTTATCACTAAGGAGTTTATGCCAGTCAATATGTTGTAGAGCTGCCCCAATCTTATTGAAATTGGCTTTTTTTAAATTATATGTTTTAGTGGTACCCCACTTGCTTTTTTGAGTTTATTTCAAAATTTACCATATTGTGATCACTATTTCCCAAATGCTCCCCTACTTGAATGTAGGTTAAAAGATCAACATTGTTTGTTATGACGAGATCCAGACAAGCATCCTTTCTAGTTGGTGCTTGTACCAGTTGTGACATAAAGGTGTCCTTTAACACATTCAAAAACCTGAAGTACTAGTCCCTCTATCCAATTTATGTCTGGGTAATTAAAATCTCCAATAATTAACGTGTTTCCTCGATTTGCAGCTTTCTCAATTTGCTCTAACAGCTGTTCTTCCTCAATAATATTTACATTACTTGGTTTATAACCTATCCCAACCAATAATTGATTTCCCTTTGTTTGCCCCAAGCAGATATCTACCCATAAAGCCTCCACATTTTCCTCATCACACTCCACATGCCTAAGATTTGACTTTAACTCATGGTTGACATATAAACATACCCCACCAACCTTCTTGTTTTTCCTATCCTTCCTAAATAATGTGTACCCATTTAAGTTAACTGCCCAGTCATGTGTCTCATCCCACCATGTTTCTGTTATGCCTATTATATCATATTGTTTAGTGTATACTATTGCCTCTAGTTCCCCCATTTTGTTACATAGGCTCATTGCATTAGTAAGCATACATTTACTATTATCATGAGTCTGTTGTACTTTTTGTGAATGATCAATATTACATACCTCCTCTGTTCTGAGCTTCTCCTCCCCCATCTCCACCCCCTTTGTTCTGAGCTAAAGCCCTTCTCCTTTCCATCCTATCTCCATTTTCTAGATTGCTTTGACCCTCCCCCCCTACCACTAGTTTAAAATCTCCTCCAACCTTCTAGCCATCCTATCCCCCAGCACAGCAGACCCTCTTCCGTTTAGGTGCAATCCATCATGACTATACAGGTTGTACCTAAGCGCAAAATTGTCCCAGTGCTCTAAAAAAAACCAAACCCTCTTTCTTGCACCAAGTCTTTAGCCACGCATTGACCTCTCTAATCTCCCGCTGCCTTTCTGCTGTAGAGCGTGGCACAGGTAATATTTCTGAAAAAACATCCTCGAATACAGCTGTAAAATGGGGGAAATCAACAATAAGGCCACTAAGATCGGGATCTCCCATTATAGTGGCCTTATTGTTGATTTTGCCCATTTTACGGCTGGACAAGAAAGGACAAAGACCCATTTTATCACGTTGGACAAGAAGGGACAAAGATCTGGAATTCAGCCTGTCGTTACCAGTCCAGGATCAGTCAACAGCACTTCAGTAGCCTATATCAATCATCAAGGCAGAAAAAGGAGCAAAGAACTTCATATTCTCTGTGGGGAAATAATAATATAGTCACAAGAAATTCTGGATTCCCTTCTGCAGAAAGGCAAAGAAAATATTGTAGCGGACGATCTCAGCAGTAATCGGTGGTCTCAAACAAACTGGTCTCTCCAACCAGAGATCTTTTCCAAAATAGTGGAAAGGTTTCGGTCTGCCTCTAATAGACCTCTTGGCAAGAAGACTGAACAAGAGGGTTCCTGTTTTTGCTTCGCTTTTCAGACAAGACAATCCACAGTTCCTGGACAGCATGTAAATCCCATGGCATTTCAATCATGCTTACCGGTTTCCGTTGATTCCGAAGGCACTACAGAAGATGAGAGTAGACCAGGCACGAGTTATTGTAATCCTTCCTTATTGGCCGAACAGGAGCTGGTTCTCAGCATTAAGACAAATAGCGCTGGAATCTTGGGAACTTCCAGTCTCAGATCATCTGTTGGAGAATGTTACTCTTCCAGAAAAAATGCTTCAAATAAATATTCAAATTGACGATTTGGCTGTTGCAAGGCTGATTTTGCAAAACAAAGGATACCGGAAAGTCTGTTTAATGTAATTCTGAACTCTATTAGAAGATCAACTTCTGAGATCAACCTTAGAATATGGAATAAGTTTCTCCATTGGTGTATTCATAATAAAAGTGTTTCTATCTCGAAGGTGCAAACTGTGGCCCTTAGCTATTTTTTACTTCAGGATTTTGCTTCTTGTCTGTTGATAAGGCTTTTTTTAAGGCCATTTTGCTTAGAAGACCTCCTCGAAAGTTTAGTTTCTCTCCTGGGATTTATCGTTGGTGATTTGTTCTTTGTGTGAAAATCCATTTGAACCAATAGAGAATGTATCACTCAAGTTACTGTCCATCAAGACGACGTTTCTGGTAGGAATTACCTCGGCCAGACAGATTGGGGAAATTCAAGCCCTTTCATCCTCATTGGAATTCACTGTCTTACATCAAGATAAAGTGGTGTTACATCCTAAACCTTCCTTCTTGCTAAAAGTTACATCAAGGAAGTCTGTTAATGAACCTATTGTGCTACCATCATTCTCCGTTCTGGTGCATTGGGTTAAAAACGTAAGTGGCACATGCTAGATGTGCGCAGAGATCTTCAGACTTACCTAGCAAGTTCAGCGGACGGATTTTAGATCCTTGGATCATCTGTTCATCTATTTTCAAGGCAAGCTGATTGGTCAAGAGGCATCGAAACCTATTCTGGCTAGATGACTTACAGAAGCTATCTAACTGGCATACGAATCATGCGATGTTCTTTTGCCTTTTCCTATTAGGGCATATTCTACTAGGGCTATGTTGACATCCTGGGTGGAGAGAACCAACACTTCTCCTGAAGACATTTGTAAAGCTGCTACCTGGTCCTCATTTAATACATTTCTAAAGCACTATCGGTTAGACATCTTTTCCTCCTCTGAAGCCGCTTTTGGGTGTAAGGTGCATCAAGCCATCGTTCTCTGACACCCATCTTTTTTTTAAAAATAATTTTTGGGTCTTATTATATCCCGACAGGTACTGCCACTATATGTTAGCAAAAACAGAAATTTTACTTACTGTAAATTATTTTTCCCTTAATATTATGGCGGTACAGTTCTCTCCCATATTTAAATAATAAGTTTATATTGAGCATGGAATGGTTCCTGGTGTTTTCTTTTCATATACTGAAGGCCTGGGGTTGAATCAGGAATTATTTAAATGTATTTAATTGTTTACAGTCGGTTTGTCCCTAAGAAGATATACACCCCACAGGGACTGCCACTATAAGGAAAATAGAATTTACAGTAAGTAAAATATAATTTTTTGCCTTCTTTACCCCTTTTATGCTGTCCTAACTTCCCCCTCCACCCCCCAACTACTAATTTTGTCATTCCTTCCTTTATGTCTAGCTTTATTTTACTGACTGTCATTGCATACCTCCCAGGTGTCCCTATTTAAGAGGGACAGACCCTATTTCAGTCCAAATCCCACTGTCCTTATTTTCCCAATCAGAAGGGCCAAGTTGGTCATGGCTAAGGCTCCCTTAAGATGCCCAAAAAGCATGCCACTGTGGAGATTATAAGTATTACACATCGGAAATGTGTGCGTGGAATTGTACAAGATCCAGTGAAGACTGTAACCACTCTTGATCCAGTCCGAGAAACAATGGCATGATCATATTTTCACAGGGTGGGTAACTGGAACATTATTAAATTCTGTAAGACAGCTATGCTTCAAGTTCAGCTACTTTGGCATTCAATTTGAAATTTACTTTTAATTCTCACATTAGTGAATAACCCTGCAAGTGTTTTGGTCCTGTAAAGGGGAACACTATGAGTCAGTTGCATTAAGGCAGATGTAACCTTGATTGGGCAAGCAAATAATTCTATGGAGGGGAGCATATTGTGGTTTAGTGCCATCTTAGATATTGCGCTTACTGCTGTTAATTGAGGCCACAAATGTATTCTCCAGAATAGGAGTGGCTTTCTAGGATTGTGCTTTTCTTGTAATTTTCTAAAATAAAAAGTTCAGATACTTCTAATTATGAGAACCCACTTTGCAGTTTCATATCTATATTTGTCAGCAGTCATTTTAGGTAGTCAGAGTCCAATTTACAAGCTTATTCAGCTATATGTTGTTTAGTCAAATATAACCCCCACAGCTTAATGTACTCTTTCACAACTGGGATCAATCCCACCTAAACATCTGGTGTAGAATAAAAGGTAATCACTCTTAGGAGAAATGTCTTCTAAGAAGTTGCATCTCAATTGTGGAGATCAACCAAAAGTGGGACGCAACAAACCCTATCCACACTCCCTCTTAAGTTGTCCCTTATAAATAGAAATAAGTTGGGGAAAAGCAATGCAACATTACAGGGATGATTGAGAAGCGAGATAGAACAAGGAGATGAAATGGAAGTGAAAAAGGGAAATAAGCATAGTGGGGCAAAGACCTAGGGCCTTTTTTTTTTTTTTTGCTCAAGACACTCCCAGATTAGGGCCCTACTCTTGGAGTATATGTATAGATCTGACACATGGTTGCTGGGGTTGCAAGGTGTGCTATCCTGTATTTCAGCAACACCCTTTAGTTTGATCTGTCCAGTATGAAGGAATAATCTCAGAGATCTATGCATGCTTAAAAGATGCAGACTCGGTTTGCCACTAATAACAACCAGCGTGTCTCATCTCACCCTGTGGTTACTCGTAAAACCCTCCAAGGACACCATAC